AATAATAAAATTTTTATCTATTTAATTAATTCAGTTAACTTATTTATATTAATATTTTTATTAAAATAATATTGAATTTATTAATATTATTTAATAAAATAAAACATTTATATTTACCAATTATTAATACAAATATTCTTTTATATTTTTACAAATCAAATTTTAATTAAGTTTATTATTAATATTATTTGCATCTTAAATATCAATTAATTTAAATAAATAAATAAATAACTAATTAATTAAAATAATAGCTAGCTACTTAAAAATTCATTACATTTAAATGACAAAATTTTAATAAAATAAAATATGTTACTTAAAGTTTTAGAATAATATATTTTAATTAAATAATTTTAAATAGTATTATAATTGTTTATAATATTTTATTTTAAAACAAATAAATATGTAATTAATTAGAAAATAGTATTTTAATTTCTGTTTTAAGTATTAACTTAAGACATTATTATTAATTATGTAATAATTTACAATAATTTACAATAAAGATTTAGTAACAAAGTAATGGATGCGATTTGGATTAAATACCCCGAAAACACCCACTAATCAATAAATTTGAAATTATAATCATTTAATCCAAAACACAATCACTTTATTTTCGTTAGCCATAAACATTATGTTTGTTTAACACAAAAAGATTATAAAACAAAAAGATCACATTTAAGACATCAGATATAATGCACCAAACAATTAAATATTTGAGTAAAATTTTCAGTGTCAGACATAGAGGTTATCACCAAATAAAACAAAATGCAATAATTGTATATATAATATATAACTTAATTAATATAACAATAATTTACATTTATATAATAAAATTGATAATTTGTTAAAAAGATTATTTAATATTTATATTATAGACTGAATTTTAAAAATATATTACGTATTATAATATAAATAAATTTTAATAAACATTTTTATATATTTTATATATTAAACTATATATTAAATTATATATTAAACTTTATATCTTTATTTTTATAAAATGATATTATATATTATCATATTTTCTTATGATTAAATACTGCATCTATTTATAAATATACTTAATAATTTTATAAATATCAAATTATGTTTAGTATAATAAATACAGTAAATAATTTCATACATTATGCTATTTATATTTAAAATAATTGTCATATATTTATTAAATGTTTATTAGCAAAAATAAATAATAATATTCTGCAATGATGAAGTAATAATAAATATTTGATAATATATAATGACATATAGTTTTCAATATATTGTATTACAGATATTAAATTATAATATACATTTAGATTACCATGATGCTTTTACTTGAATTTATTATTATGCTTGTGCTTATATTAAATTATTCTTTAAAACTCATTGTATTATTAATTTGCAAAAAATGTTTGAATCTTTACTGATGTTTTCAGCGATAACTTCCAATATTGATATTGTTAAGTAAAATGTATAATATATTAAACACTAGAATAAACATTTTTCATACGTCAAGTACCAGCCTTACAAATCTACAGTTTCTCACAATAATATGAAATATAGATATATTAATACAATATGTCTGCAGGTATTATAGGTAATCCTTGTGTTTTTTATTTATTAAATGTAGAGTATATACTGTAGTGTAAATATATATTATATACAGTATATATATATATATATAAATTTATATTTTTTATATAATATAAAAAGTTTATATTGGATTTAAAAATACAAAGAAATTTATAAAAATTAAGTACATGTAAAAATGCTATTATAAATATACAACTAATAACAAAATAAAATTTACTTTAAAAGATAAAATAATTTTTTCAAATTCATACTGTTTTAAAATGAAAATAATTTATGTGCTTTATTATTTCAATGCTTGAAACTCATATAAAATTATTTAATTAATGCATAATGTTTATTAATCTTCAAGAATTTTATTATTATTAATTATTATTAACCCTTAAGTAATACAATAACACTAGTTTTATAATTATCATAAATATTTTACTTTTAAGTTGCTTAGTTATACTGTATAAAAATAAATACAATAATATATTATAGAATGTTTATACAAAATATAACTAAATTGTTATGCTATGCGAAACATATAATTTGTTTATCACATCATGAAAAGTGCTGTAGATTTCAAAATACATTATATATATGAAATGTTAGTCATTTAATCGTTAAAATACTGTTAGCTCTTTGAAATACAAGCAAACATCTGACTCTAAACAATATATATATATATATATATATATATAATATTATAAATATATGTAATAGTGAGCACACAATATAACATAATATAAATATTTTTATTATTCTGTAGATTGTAACGTAAAAATATTAAAAACATTATTTCTTTTTATTTATTTGACACATAAGTATCGATTTTAAATATTTCCCATAATTTTATAGTTTCGGAAATTCGGAAAAGTAGTAAAATTTCGGAAAACTTATTTTCACCATGCTCATATTTGTTAAGGACATAATATTTACAGTATAAGCTGACTAAAGATCAAGTAATGATAATTAAAAATAAATGGTAAAATTAATATTAATTAAATTGACATTAAATTTTTATCATCATTTGATTAAAAATAAATAGAGGCAATCAATAAAACAAAATGTTTTTATCAAGTGATGATAAAATATTAGAATTTTAGGAAATTATATTGGATTTTTCGCAATAGTATATAATTACTAATTTTCAAATTAAAAAAATAAAATGCTTATTAATTGTTAACAATATTTGTAAACAATTTCAAAATTTGGTCTTAATATTTTTATATTTAGTTATAGAAAATGTTTAATACTGTAATACAATTAAATGTTACAATTTGTAATACAAATTTTGTATTATATTTTGTAATATATTTTATAAATGAAAACAAATAATTTTTTGTTTGAAAGGAATTATGATATAATTGGATTGGATTTATCACAAAATATCGCATTATTTATAAGTAAAATTGAAAAACGGTGTTGTAAACTTTAACTATAACACACACACACACACACACACACACAYATATATATATATATATATATATATATATACTGTTGGGTATATAGTAATTAAAAAACTCATAAAAATGTTAAAATATAATAAAGTAAAAGATAGTTTTAAAAAATATAAAATTGTCACTAATTCTCTCTCTCTCTCTCTCTCTCTCTCTCTCTCTCTCTCTCTCTCTCTCTTTAGCAGACACAGACACACACACAAACAAACATAATTGAAAAATAATTTGACTGTATGTATATTTTAAGACTATTATTAGTAATTGCATATCAATGTGTTTATCACATATTTTCTTAGAAAATATATGATATGTCATATAAACATTACATTTAAAAAAAATGATAAATAGAGATTAGATATTTGTCATAACATTTAAATTTTATCAATAAAAATATAGAGTATATTAACATTATAATAAAAATGAAATAATTACTTAACAAGTATTATTTTAAATGAATAATTTTATTTATAGAAACAATTATTTTTTATTAAACATAATAATTTAAAATGTTTAGATAAATATTTTTAAATTTAATCAGAAATCGTCATTTTCTTTAAATGTTACTATAATTATATAATAATTACAATTCTTTTATTTAATGTATTTATAAACAATATTATATAATTTTAAAACTAAAAATTAAAATTTATAAATAAGAAGTGACAATTTATTTTGTTGTTAGCTATTAAATCTATTTAATATTTTTTTATAAATAAAGATAATAATAACATTATATATCATATGCATACAAGATAATATGTCATTTAATTTAATTAATATATTAGATAATTTAGATCATAATAATATCCATTTTTATATTATATATTAGCCATTGTTGTAAAGTATAAGTTAATAGACTTTACTCAATAGCACCAAAAATAATGACATTTTATATAAGCAATCATCAAATTAATTCGTGAACAGAGTTCATGAATATTGAATATAATATATCATTTACACTGTAAATACAGAATATAAAGATTACAATTTTTAAGTTTATTTATTATTAAATATATTATTTGTCAAAAACATTTCAATTTCATATTTTATCTATTAAATTTATAATTAATTATAATACTATTACTAATAATAATAATAATAATGGATCCATTGAATTGTCAGGTATCACTTTTCAAGCAACATTAATTGCTTGTTTAATAATTTTGTTTGTTTGTTAAAAAAGGTCAATATACTTGATGTGTAAGTTAAAGTATATATTTATTGTTGTAATAGTGAATTTTATGGGCAAATTTATAATAAGTATCATTTTTTAAAAAAGTATTTTTAAAATAATTTATATTTAAATTACAATTTATCGCTAAATAATTATGATATAGTACTCCTTTTATGTTTACTTTACATATGACAGTTAAAAATAAAATCAAAATTTATTTTAATGTAGTTTTTAGAAAATTTTTCAACATATTTCATCTATAATTATAATTAGATATATGTATTGTCTAAAAGAATATTAATATAAACTTTCACGTAAATATACTGTATATATATATTACAAATATATAATGCAAATATATTAAATATTTACACATAATTAAATTATTGTCAAATAAAATTAATTTTACTAATTTTTAAAAAATCACAAAATAAATGTAATTGATTATAATAAAACTTTTTTGATAATCAATTAATGGTAGCAATATATCGTTAAAGTAAACATAAAAATAATCAAATAAAGCCTAATTATTGCTGATAATAGAAAATTGTAAATATTTGTCATAATGACATCAATCAGCTTTGTTGTCATATTTAACATAACAAACATCAACTATAAAAATAACAAATTTAAAATCAAAAGAAAGTTAACAATTTATATGAATAAATCAATTAATTGTGTGAAAAAAACAAATAAAATCAAAAATAATAATTAATTAGCACTTCATAATATAAATGTTATAAAAATGAATGTTTGAAAGTAAAGAATATGTCTTTAAAAGCGTGTCTTTTTAACAGTAATTAATAAATGTAATAATTATTATAATTATAATAATTAATTAAAATTAGTTTTAATAATTTGTTATATCTTATCGACTCTTGAATAGTACGGTCTCCTCGAAGACTAATTCCTTAAGTCGTTCCTTTGGCAGGTCATCCAATTCCATCTCAAAAGTGAACGGTTCCTCAGCGACCGGTTCGTCGGCCGGATCATAGTATTGTTCGAGGTATGGATGTGCCAGTGCTTCTTCAACAGTGATACGTCTGTGTGGATTAAATGTCAACATTTTGTCCAACAAGTCCAATGCGTTGGGATCGGCATCGGCGTACATGCGTGACCAGGGCACCTTAGCCTTGGCTGGAAGCGACTGTAAATAGGAACGGGCCTTCTCGTTGATTATACAGTTCAGGTCCTCTTGCGACGGTGAACCTAATATACCCAGGATATGGTTCAGTTGATCCAAATAATGTTTGCCTACAAATTTCAATCATAAATATCAAACAATCACTTTAAATAATATGTATACGCAATACCTGGAAATATGGGTCGATTGGAGATCATCTCCGCCAATATGCAGCCAACAGACCAGATATCAATAGACTTGGTATAGCCCTTACTGTTGAGCATAATCTCAGGCGCTCTATACCATCGGGTGGCCACGTATTCGGTGAGGAACCCCGTGTGGTCGTGCTCTGGATCAGCCACTCGGGCCAAACCAAAGTCACAGATTTTGAGATCGCAAGTTGTATTAAGTAATAGATTAGATGGCTTCAGATCCCGATGAAGTACATTAGCCGAATGGATGTACTTAAGACCTCGTAGTATCTGATACAAGAAGTAGCAGATGTGGTCATTGCTCAGCTTCTGTGTCTTCAACAACTTATATAAGTCGGTCTCCATTAAACACTGAACTATATAAACATCTTTCATTGAATCAATAGTTTGCGCCCGTATTATGTCCCGGATGTCTATAATCTGAAAGTCGGTAAATAAAATAAACACATCATTAGTTTGAATCACTCAAACAAATAAATTTTGGTTAAAATAAATATCAATTCAAATTAAATTAATAAATATCATAATATTTCAATAAAAAATTAGTATCACATCTAACTTATAAGTTATAACCCCCACAATCATTACTGTTAACTCAGTTATGATATATAGTATTAATGTTTATATTAATAAAATAAAGGATTATTTGTAATACCATTTCTCTGCTAAATATTAATATATCAGTGAATATATGGATATAAATAAATACATGAATTGTATTAAATAAAAACATCAGTTTCGCTGACAAAGAAAACAAACCTCAGGGTATGTGATGTATGAAAGTGGGGAAAGACAGATATGGGGACAGGAAGTCGGTTGGTAGAGCTCTTTAAGGAATTAAAAATCCCGAATAGTGATGGTAGTTCAGACCCCCCTGAGTCTCCCCATACCATCCACATAGCTGTCCGACCTCCGCAATTCGAGATATTCGACTTTAAAGTCGAAATTTATTTTGACGTTATTTATGAATAAGATACATGCTTTCTATGTATTTTTCAATGCTAATTATGAATATGTAAACAAAATCTCATTATGTAAAATAGTTTTCGAGATATTCGACTTTAAAGTCAAAATAAATATTTGTGACAAAATAATTTAAATATCGTAAATAAAAATTAGAATTGTATTATTTTAATTATAAATTTTAAATTTTAAAAATATATAATTGTATAAATTTATTATATAGTAAAAATTATGATTATGAATTAAAAATTAGTTTTAATATTGTGAGGGTTCGGGTTTATAGTTTACCGTCAAATAGCCCGTAAAGTAGACTTTACGAAGCAATAAGCAATGCGGGGTATGTTTGATAGGGAACAGTGATGTAATTACTGTACGGGTTACTATATGAAGACTATTTAAAAGTTACGGTATATTTGTATGGGTTATCTATTACGCCACTGTATACATGAATAGCTACTCGAGGCTCTGGTAACTTATATATCGGTTTATATCGGTAATAAGTATCGGAAGCCTTATATCGGAGCTCGGAAGGACTTAACAGTGAAAAGCCGGAATAATAGCCTAACTCCGCTACACCTAAGGCTTACACTTACTAGTACTCAATGATTACATTTTTAAACTCTTTTTAAACTTCAATTTATTGATAATTATAATGCAATAGTCAATGAATTACATGCATTTAATAATTACAGTATTTTAGATTTATCAAAATGTGCGAATATACAATTAATGCGATTAAATATAATATTTAGTTAAAGTAACATAATTAGTTGAAAATAATTAAACATAAATAATAATAATAAATTTAGATTAAACAATATTTAAATTAATAATAGCGTGAATACAAAGAGATACGGTATATCATAGTTATAAAGTTAAAGTTAACTTTAAATTTAGATTTGTATTATTGGTAGCGCTTAGTGATGTTATAATCATCACAATATAATAAAAATAAGAATAAGAATTTTTAAATGTAATTAATTATATAAGATTTATATAATAAATTAAATGTATTTAAAATTAAGTTTATAAATTATATATAATGTAATTAATAAAATAAAAATAAAATAAATGCAAAAAGTTGAAATAAAATTAATAGAATGAAAAAATAATAAAAGAATTTCTTTAGATATTTATAATAATAATAATTTATTCTATAAGTAAATTGTTTAAAATTGTAGACAAAAACATTGGTCTAACAATTATACAACATTGTGCAACAACAATATGCGCTACAAATGGATGAATATTTGATTTAGATATCAATGCACTAAAATTATATTATTTTTAAGTTTTACCCCCTTGGCTAAAGCCAAAAAGTTAGTAGGGGCCCTATCAATTATTTGGGCCGAAGAGGATATTTTTAGGGAATTTACTGGGAATTTATTACCCCCAAACTCTTTCGAGATTTTTGCCATTCTACCCCCTATACCCCCCCCCTGAAATCGAAAACATTTCGCAACCCAGACTTTATTATATAGATAAATTAATAGAAAATAATATAATTAGTGATCGGAAAAACTGTTTGATATTATATATATATATATAAATAATAACATCAAAACAAATTGATTAAGTCGAATATCTCGAAAACTATGTAACATAATGAATATTAATTTTCATATTCATAATTAGTATTAGAAATGCATAAAAATATATATGTCATATTCATAAATAATGTAAAATATTTTTGACTTTAAAGACGAATACCTCGAAAATTATTTGACATAGTGAGATTTAGTTTTCATATTCATAATTAGTATTGAAAAATACATAGAAAGTATTTATCATATTCATAAATAACGTCAAAAATAATTTTCGACTTTAAAGTCGAATATCTCGAATTGCGGAGGTCGGACAGCTATGTAGGTGGTATGGTTAGACTCAGTTTGGTCTGAGCTATCATCACTACTCGGGATTTTTAATTCCTTAAATCACTCTATCAGCCCAGGAAGTCAAATAAAGTATAGATTTAAATTAAATACAAATAAAACGGCTGTCTTTTTGCAATTATCAACCATTAAATATAAGGTTAACTAATAGTCATATGATATCATATGATAATCTAAATAATGATAAATTATGTGACAGTTGTCTACAAATAATAGTTGACATTAACTTACGTTTTCGTGTCTAAAACGGGTTAGTATTTTAATCTCCCGAAGTGTGCGCTGACAATAGGTCTGGTGCTCGAAGGGGGAGATCTTTTTGATGGCCACCTTATGTTTGGTTAAGTTGTCGTACGCCGACCTATAGCCACATCCAAAGGTTCCGTATGTAATACGTGTGACATATATGACACCAATCACACCATCGATTCATATATAAAATAAAACATATAATTATATTAACCATTTGTGATAATATGACTATTTGTCATCAATAGTGGTCATATATAGACCATATACTTACACCACCATCCCATAGGCCCCCTCTCCGATATACGACAAGTTGTTATATCGGGGCCCGACTTCAAATATCTGTCCTCTCACACACTCAACCATTGCACACACCTAAACCTAAACCTAAACCTAAACCTAAACCTAAAACTTATTATTTATATATTGTATATATTATATATAAAAATACAATTATCTAAATTTAATTGATGATGATTTGTTATGTTTGCACATATATTTATTATCACTAATAGTTTTTTTTTAAAAATGTACAGTAAATACAAAATATATATCAATTATTTATTTGTATATTAATATATGATATATAATATATATATATATATAATATATTTATAGTGTATATAATTTGATAATACAATAGAGAGAGAAATAGAAAGAGAGAGAGAGTGAAACACAATGAATATAATATACGGTATAATAATAAGTGTATGAATTTGAGGCCAAAACTAAACTCAAGACAACAGTAGGAAAATCAATAGAAAACTGTAATTCACTTCAAAATGCTATCCAAAGTGTGGAGTTAACGCATGCGCTAAACGTTTCTATTATTACGCGCAGGGATTCAATGAGTTATAAATGTGTTGAGAAAAGCAATGTATAGTATAATTAGGGTTCGAATAAATTAATTCCCTCCTCTTATTTCGTCTTATTTTTCAAGTTTCCTATTTTCCTGGGAATTCACAGGGAATTTATTTCCTTGTACTACAATCTATTAAATCATAAACAACACACATTTTATTATAATGTTTGAAAAAATAGTATATTAAACTCTAATACTCTATCTAACTCTAGTTTAGTCAATTGAAATTTATTTTGAATATTTCAATAAAATTTTATTTAAAATATTAAGTTTTAGTACTATTTATTATAATAATATAAATTATATTAACCTTCTAAGGAGCTAGGGAGGGAAAATAAAGTTTTGTCCATATTTTTTGGGAAAATTTGAGAGATTTTATTAGGGAACTTCCCTCCCTTGGGAGACATTACAAACCCCAAGTGTACAGTACAGTATAAAGCTGAGCACTGTTACATAATCTATACGCCCAGGTATGTACAGTACTAGTCCACTTGGATATTTTATTAATATAATTTATATATATTGTATTTATGTATTGTATATATTTTAAAAATTGACTTGGTAATTTCTATTTTGATATAATTAATTGATAAATTTTCGAGTAAAATGCAGATAAATAATAAAATACTTTTTAGTGTTTATTTCTATCAAATAAAAGTTAATTTGTGTAATAAAAATCACTGTACTTTACATTAATAAGTAATACAATACCATTATTTAACTACAGTATTATATAATGTCTATATCTAGATATTTTTTTTATATATACGGTACATAAAAAAATGTTAAATCATATATATATATATACTGTATAAAGTACCGGTAAATTATTATAAATTAAATTATTTATTATATTTGAAAATAAATTCGTTTTTTAAATTTTAGAAAATTTTTTATTAGATTTTATGACAATTTTTTAAAATGTTGAATAATTCAAAGTTTGAGATATTTTTAAATAAATTAACTTTTAAAATCTATTTTGTATTTTAATTTATAAAATGCATGCTATAAAATTAAATAAGTTAATTATAAGATTTTAAATATAATTAATAATGTAAAAAAATTCACTATATTATACTGTAATATCATATTAAATATATAAAACAAATTATAATATATAATACTTTTCATACAAAAAATTATAATAAAATATAAAATTTATAAAACATAAAAAACAATATACATTTTGTTATAAATTAATCTAAATTTTAATAAAGAAAAAGATATTTTATAGGACTTAAAAATTTATACTTTTTATAAGTAGTTTTGAGCCTTAATTTGAATATTTTTTTATAAAATAATTTCCAATTCGTTTACTATTATAAAAAAAATATGATTAATACCATAATAGTAATAATATCTAAAGTAATTTAAAGGATAAATATAATTTTTGGTAAATATAATTTCATTAATAATGTATATATTTAGAGCAAATCTCAATCTATAAGTTTATATAAGAGAGCATAAAATAGAAAGGAAGAGCTCTGGCGAGCAGTTTATATCACTCGTGGGATACGACAGATCACATCACTTCTTCTTATTTTTGCCTAACTGTTGCTGAAGTGTTAGATTACTGCCAGAACCGCCCAAAACAACCTGTTTTCGGGAACTGAAAGCCGCGATCTCGTCGTCCAAACGTTGTTTGTCTAACTCAAGACGTCGTTTCTCTTCAGTCGACTGTTTCTTCAAGCGATCAAATTTTTGGTGCAAATCTTTCTCAGCCTCCTTGAGCTCACCTTCTTTTTCCTTGACTCTGTTTAATAAAGTATTCAACATTATGTATAAAATTATTTAATTCAAATTAAACTATCATTTTATACCTAACAACAAAGCTTTGTCTCATATCCTCCTCTTTTCGCTGTAATTCTGATAGATGTGCGGCTCGTCTCTGTTCGTATGTTTCCTGAAAACTTGTCGTTTTTGAGTTATCAGTGCCGCCAACGGTTCCAAAGCCCATCTGTTCCAATCGTACGCGTCTATAGAGTTCATAATGACGTGAATGTGTTGTCTCGCGTAAGTCTTCCATATTTATTCTTAAAATCATATCCCGGAGCCGAACAAAATCACAATGATTTTCATTTTCAACTATTAAATTGCGGAAAATAATTACAACAATTAATAATAATTATTACTTTATTTCAAACAATACACACCGAGAACAGTACCCCACGGGTATTGACGGGCTCTCATCTGTTTACTACCGACGCGAACAAAGTCATGACTAGCGACGATAGCAAACGGCAGTAAAGAATTGTTTTTACTGTTAATGTCGGCCACATCTGAGTCATCGGTAGGAAAGTGGTATATATTGATACCATTTGTCACAATTTCGGACATAATTTTAGTCCGGAGTTTGTCTAACTCTGCTTTAGTTATTGTGTCTGATTTGGCAATTATGGGAATCAGATTGCATTTGGCGGCCAACTCACGCATTGTCACCAAATCAATAGACCGCAAGCCGTGACCAACGGGTGAGATAAGATACAGACATACGTGGACTCGGCTGTCATTCACTGGACTCTGGTTTCGGTGTATTTTGAGCTCTTCCTGCAAATACTTCTCAAATTGTTGATCAATGTATTCAACGATTGATTTGAATGATTCAGCTATCAATAGATCAAACAAAGAGATAATTAACTGTCAAAAACAACAATACTATTAACTTTTATAAGCGATTTAATGAGACAAACCTTTATTAATCTGATCGCCAAAACCTTTGCTCTCAATTAAACCTAATTTGAGTTTAATGTTACGTTCGTGGAGGTCATAGTTATGTGCGGTCACATCAACGGCACTCAAATTGTGCGAACGAGTGGATACATCGGGAAACTTCATGTTAAACAGACTGTCCAATAAAGTAGACTTTCCAACACCTGTCTGTCCCAAACACATAATATTAAAGCCAAAGCCGTCCCGAACTATACGGGAGACAAATTGTTCGGGCAATGAATCGATGCCAACATAGGCTTCCGGTTTGAGGACACGATAGGAGTTGCCGTTGCCGTTAGTACTGCCATTGTTTTGGGTATTAGACGTCTTCAGTACCGATGGGTTGCCATTTAATGCTTGAGTTATCTTCGGCTTTGTCTGCAAATTGACGGTCGGTTTGGCGCCAATCGCGGGATTAGTATCGCGACCACCAATACCCGAACCACCGCCCAAACCCGACACACCGGTTAGCTTGTCTTCAGCCGACATATCCGTCACTTATATCAAGTGTCGGTAAATTAACAATTAAATCAAATCAAGAGATGTTTTGTCCACAAACTGGTTGTCAATCAAACAAATACTTAAAGATTTTTCACAACAAATGCATTCAAAAGAAAAAAATTTTAATTTATTTTTTGTCTTTTTATTCAATTTATTCAATCAATGCCTTAATATGTGTGTCAGTCATAGCCGCCGCCCATTCAGTAAAAACACTGTAAACAATAGTTTTAGATAATTTGGTACTTTTTTATATTTGTTTCTATAAGTTTGCTATCAATAATAACTCTGAATTATAATAGTCCAATATATGCTAATTATAAACAATATGTTTGTTGTGCACATAAATGTTTATTTATATAATCCAAACATAACGTTGTGAATATAATTTATGATAATAACCCCCCAATAAATCATTGTTGGGATTAAATGATCATGTTTAATTTATAGATATATTAATTTTTGCAAGTTTATTTATTACAATAATTGTACATTTTCTTTATTATTATTATTAATTTAATCAAAATTTATACATACAATAAGTTACATGCATTTATACACATAATGATGTTTTTTTTAAAAAAAAATAATATATGATATTATGTTATAATAAATTTGATGGATGTGTTAGTTTGTATTGTATTTGGTGGGACTGAATGCTTAGGAACGGTAAGCTAAGAGTTACCAAACCTCGCATTTGTGCACCGGATTCATAGGACTACCATCGGGACAGTTGTATGCACGTGCAAAGTCACGCGAGTTATGTAATGCACCGATAACTCTGTTCATGTATTTAAATAAAATGTTTATAAAGATTTATATAAACTTTTGTTGTAAATATTATTTAATATTACCTATATTTTCCCGGCGTATGTTTCCATGTTTTCAATGCAGTTAACATCCCCTCCTCTGTCATCGATTGGCACCAATTCTGAGCATATTTTAAGAAGAAGAGCTGATTCTGTGTGAGATTCACACCGGGAAGCAAACGGTCGGCGCCGTACTTAAGCTCCAGTTTCTTGAAAGCCTTTAAAATTATATATCAATTATTATAATTTAACAAAATTTAATTGAAATATTTATTTATTTTGAAATTTAAGTAAATATTTCAATAAAATAATGAAAACAATATATAATTACACGAAATGATTGCTTAATTCCTCCATTATCTGCGATATTCTGTTATAAAAATAAAAATTAATTGTATAAATAAAATAAAAAATATATTGTTTAATATATTATATAGATATTAAATATGATAAGATAAATACAATTAATATTATAATATTATCAAAAATAAAAGCATTGTAATAATTTTGTATTTTATCATAAATTATTTAAACAATACATACTTCACTTAATGTAAGCATACCGTTGATCTGCAATATATGAAACTATGTAATCAATTTTGTAAAATAAAATAATAAATTAAAAAAAAATTGAATGCCTTGTGATCCTCATTCAGGACTCTAATTGTATAGTTGTTATACTGGTTAACCATACACTGAGATTTGCTAACAAACCGGTCAATGGTATTTGGGTGCCACCATAAACGTTGATTACCATATTGGTCATGGTGACGTCCTGGGTGATATTTTTTTTAAAAATAAATGACTAATAATTTAATAATTTTAATAATTAATATACCATTTGAATCAAAACCATGAGTTAGTTCGTGACCGACAATCTATAATTAATAAAATTATTTTACGATAATTGAAACTTTATGTGAATATAATTATAATGAATATTATAAAAATTTAGAAAATAAATACATACGGAACCAATAGCTCCATAATTTAATGAATTTGGATAGTTTTTGTCAAATAATGGAGTTTGCAATACAGCTGCTGGAAAGCCTTGTTTATTAAATTTATAAATAAATAACAATTATTATTATAGTTATTTTATTAATTAAATAAATTTTTGATACACACTCATCAAATTTCTATATCTATGATAATGTGCGTTAACTACACTGGGCATAATAGTCCACCTATTTAAGATAACAATTAAAAGTGTATAAAATATAACAACAAAAATAAAATAAAAATTATAATTATGACTTACTTGTCTTTATCGACTTCAGTAAATAATTTTGATTGTGTTTTATTTGTTGAATTTTTTAGAAATCCCACAACATTTTCAAAGTATTTGTCAATTTCAAAGTTAAACTATTGATAAATATTTAAGTATTATTGTTAATGTTAATAAATTAATTAATATTTTATTTACATGAGCATATTCCTCATCTAATTTATCATTGTCATTTAAATAATCTGGATAACCTATATGTTGTTCCATAACAGTTGCCTATAAAGTTAACAATAAAAAAAATATTTAAAAAATTACAAATTTTTTTTTTATTAATACGATATAATAAATGAACCTTGGTCTTAGCATCATGTTTAGTTTCCTGGTCCATCCATGTTATCTCTTCTAATATTTTATAAAACTCAAGTTTAATATTTTCGATAATTTCATCAGCCTATTTTAGATAATTATATTAATAAAATATTTATATATCATTTAATAGAGTCATCCAATTATATAACCTTAGCTTTACTATCGCTGGTGAAGTATTGATGAACATACAGTGCACTGGCAGCCATACCTTGTTATATAAAATATTATTATTTTTGTAATTTATTTGTTTGTTTTTTTTTTGATAAATAGTTTCTAAATATTATTAGTACCCATATTATTATTAACATAATCAATGCATTTTTTCCACCTGGCTGATTGACTTTTTGTACCAAATATTTCTTTATAATAATCCTGTTGTACTTTTTCAAACCTGGAGTCCAAATTATTAGCACGGTTCATTACAAATCGCCATAATAAATAATTAACCATGGTACTGATATCAAATGGAAACAATTAAAAAATTATTTTATTTTCAGTTAATTATTTTTATATTTATAAGTTGTCATACCGTTGATTTGTTTGATCAACCAGCTCCTGGACATCAATAAAATAATCTAGACCATAAATTCCTACCGATTCAGTATCATTGATGGGCACCGGTATGGCCAGTTCAAAGTAGGTTTTCCAATTAATATTAGGCACTAAACGCGATAGTTTTCTAATAGACATGCGTTGATAGGCGGCGCCCCCATTCTTTTCAAAAGGTCGTGAAATGTTGGCCAGTCGTGACTCAAAAAGCAGTATATCCTCTATATCGGACTCAATGGTAGCTAACGGTGCGTTCAATAGTTTGGTGTACTCTTGGATCAGCTTATGATATGCTTTGTATTGACGACTACTAGTGTTTTGATAAAAATCGGCACTCGATAGCCCTAATGTTGCCGGATATAGCTATAAGTAATTTTATAAAATTAATTTTATACTCATTTATATAAATATAATTATTGACATTAATTAACTAATTATAACTTCCACTAACCTTAATAGCATAAGTGGATGCATTATATTCATAGGGACCAACATTGTGGCCGATTATGATTTCATTGTTGTACTGTCTAAGTGTTCCCATAAGTTTGACCTATAGATTATAAAAAAATGCTGTATTTATTTTTATTACATAAATATATTTTTTTCTTGACATAATATTAATATTTATTGAAAACATTATTATATAAAATAACATTATTTTGAAATTGAAATGAACTTTCAAAAAGTTTTTTTTCTTTTAACAGTACTATAAGTTAATACAGTATAATACTGTATAAATCAAATAAAAAACTCATAATTTCTATGCCAAGACATACTTGAACTGAAACCTCATAAAAATAATGTTACAGTATATTAAATATTATATAAAAAACATTAAAAAAAACTCAAAAATAAACAAATATTACAAAAATTACTAATTACCCAATTCATTGAAAGTTCATTATTTTTGTTGTAAGTATTGCTCGTATTATTGGTCATCAATAGAGGCCAATCACCCAATTCTTTCAACAATTTCACCAATGGTTCAGATCCTCTCTTTTCAATCAGCTCTTCATTAATACACGATTGATATAACTAATTGATAAAAAAATATTAGTTATTATTTGTTTTGAAAAATACATATTCATTAAAATTTTAAGGAAAATAAAATACATCTAAAATAGAAAAACACATACAGTTTTGGCTTTTTTAGTGCTATTTGATTCATTGTCGGCAATCGGTGTCTCCAAAATTGCTAATAATGTTTAAAAATAGCAATTATTTTTTCAATTAAAAAACAATCTATAAATACATTTTAATTTATTTGTTAACTGATTTCTCATGATTGTGAATGTGTCGGTACGGGACTCATCCTCATCGATGTTGTTATGATGAGTCCAACCGCCGCACGCGTACTCAAAAAAATCATTACAAGGATCTACCGTTCGGTCCATACTTTTCAACAAATCCGAGGCCGCAGTTATACAATCTGAGGTCAGACACAGATTTTGTTGGACACGAACTATACATGCATTATATATACAGTATATATACATTATATAAGCACTGAGTAATTAACATGAGTTGAATATTATTTGATATAATATGTATACCATGTCTTCTAAGTAAAACTACAGTTAGACATATAATAGCAATCATTGCTATTATAAATAATGCCGAGAATCGACACGTTTGACCAGTGGATGACTTCATTAGTCGATTCCATCTCTCAAAACTAAAATTTAATTTTTAAAAAATAATTAAATAAAATATTCTTTTAATTACTTTAAAATATTTTTAATTAGTTAAAAAATAATTTCTAACAAACTCACAACATTATATTTATATATGTTATTGGAATAAACTGTATATATTATAATATTTATAAAAGTTATTTAATATATTTAATAAAAATATTAATTACAATTTATTTTTAAACTAAAACTGCATATATTTAATAGTAATAATTTAAATAATAATAAAAAATAAAAATAACTAAATTGACTAATATAATTTCTAAGTAATTTAATATGTAATCGTGTAAAAGCATAAAAACCGAACCATTTTGTTGTATAATAATAGCATTGATTATAATATTTATAGTGATATATTTACTTATCATTATCACTAAATCCCAGCAAACAATTAATTATCAATCATTTTTCATTTGAATAAAATTAGAAAATCCAAAGATTCAATTACATTAGGAATTTCCTATTAATAACTATTGCTTATGAAAAACTGGTTATCAAATATAATATTATTATTTAATTTTATTTATGATTAAAAATAGCAATAATTATAAACCACATAATTACATAACGTATTTATACATAAATGCTATGTTGCTTAAATCATAAAATAGACAAAAATAACAATTAAAAAATAAATAATTTAAAAAATAAGCGATAAGATTATGTAAAAATGTTTGAATTATTCAAGTTTTAATTGTTATTATAATTATAAAATGCCCTTGAACAATTAAATTTTATATTATTATTTATATTATTAAGACACAATATAATAGTAATAATAAATGTTTAAACTCAATTCTTTAAACAGGAAATTATGTTTATAATTAATATTAATTAGTTCATTCAAATACTTTTAAAATTAAATAATTATGTAAAATTTTGATTTGAAACTTTTCAATGTATAATATTTTATAAATATATAGTTTTTTTTAAAATATGCATAATATAAAGTATTCATAATATAAAATAAAGATTATCATAAAGATAAATATATTAAATTTATTATTATTTTTTATGTAAATAAGAAAAATGTAAAATGAATCTTTAATAAAAAGAAAAATACAATATTAATATAACTAATAATATATAAATTAAACAACGTATACTATATAGTATCTATATATCAATAATTTATTTTATATATTTATAGTTTTATTATATAATTTTATTGAAAGATTAGTAAAAAATAAATCTTATATATTTATTTTCTATTAGCAAAATTAAATAATAAATTAAAAATACTAAACTTATATCACATACCATACCTTAGTCTCGGCGCTAATTTACTGGTTGGTGATTGTGTACTATCGGTGTGATTGGATACCGATTCACTATCGCCCGAACTTATACTCATATTAGAAAAATAATAATTTATTAAAATTTATAGCCACCTCCTAATTGCGATACACAAAATATTTTAATTTAATAAAACACAAAACTTTTTTATGCTAATTTAACATTAAATTTTTTCATTTTAAACACATAAATAAAATAAAATGATTAGATTAAATAAACTAGATTTTATTAACTAATTTAAAAATTAATATTAAACCAATAATGTTGTTATATTTATTTTTAGTAATAGACTTATTAAAATTATAACTTTCACTTCAAGTAAAATTTTGTTTTTAAATCAAAATGACAAAAATTAAAAATTTTATACTAATATTTATTAACATTATCTAAAAATTTCACTTAAAAACAATTAAATAAATTGAAAGTAATTGCTGTATTTAAATATTAAATCTTAAATCCTTGGCTTTTGATTTGAGACCAGTGGACATATAATCAAAGCAGTTATACAGTATGCTGTGAAATATGGCAATTGTGATACACTGTTACCACTTGCACTGGTATGTTGGGATGAATTGAGGATAAAAGTGATGCATTGATGGGTCATTGAAAGCACTGTACACGCAAATACAGTACACACTCAAAATATGACTGCTATTATTAACTTTACTAATAATTATTCACTTATTATTATTATTATTAGTTATTTTTATTATAATTTTCTATTTATTGTTATATTCCTATTGTTATCCACTTATGTGTGTTAATACAATATATTGCATAACAAGAGTATACACTATTAGATTAACACACAAATCATGTGTTACTTTATATTACTACGAAAAATAATAAATTGTTTTTTAGAAAATATTGCATAAATAATACACAAAAAGATTGAATAAAAAGATGTTAACATAATATATAAGTGGAGAGAGAGTGAGTCGGGAGTAAAACAAGTCATGAATTGGGTATTGATTCAACCAATTGACTGAATAACTCTTATTGAAATCGACCGGTGCTTTGAGCACAGACACGATGATTGTATAATTGTTAATATATATATCGAAAGCGAAAGATATAATACTGTATATTAAATAAAAGGGAAGTGTAGGGGGAGGGAGGGTATGGTAGGTGACTGTCTAATGTAGCAAAAGTGTGCTAAATAATCACTGTGTCATATCAAAATTATAGTTAAACTAATTTCTACATTAATTATAATGATGATTTATTTATGTTATATACTCGTTGAAAATCACCAATAAAATATATGCAATAAATTTAATAAATTGTATAAATTTATTTTTGGTTAAAATAATAACAAATTTAAAACAAATAAAGCAATTGTATAGTTAAACAGGTTTAATTATATAGAATAAAATATAGTATACTACATATATTATAAATTACATTGTATACACAATTATGCTTTAAATAAATAAATAATTATTAATACAAAATAATGCAATTAAACATTTATAAAATATTTTAAAAGGAAAGTTGTTTTACTGTAAACATTAAAATATTGTAGTGATTAGGGGTTTGGAAAAAATTCAAAACCGGAACCTAAAAAACAGACTAAATGTTTATTGATTTAAGAAATATTGTACTAATATATAAAATACAGTATTTTATTTATTAGACATTTATTAATATTGCTTATTAAACTTAATAATGCTTTAAATTATATTATTTATTATTTTTAAAATTAAATATTTATTCATTTATTAACTATGAAATTTAAATAATTAAAAAATACAATTTATTAATTATTTAATGTATATAATATTTTTTGAATTGTTGATAAAGTCTTAGGTTTAAAACAAAATTGAAAGTTACGAACTCTAGTTTGTTTCTTATCGTTTTTTTGTTGTTTTATGTTTTTTTTACAAAATAGTAAAATATTTTTTTGGTTACAAATGTGTGATTAAAAAACCATTATCTATATTACTGTTTAGTGTTGGCCTTCATGTAAATTGTTAACACATATTAAAAAGTTTATTAATGTTAGACTAAGTCACCCAAATCATTAAAGGGCCATTTTATTTGAATTATTTTATTATTGATATCTATTTAAAAAAAATCAGTATTATATTTATTATAATTTTATTTTTATTTAAATCATATTTTAAAACTATAGATATTTAGAGAAACAATTAGAAAAATTAGGACAACATTTCAAAATATTAATGTTTTTTGTTTACTAAATAACTAATAATTAGAGATATCTAATAGTTAATTTGCTATTTCATTTTTTAATAAAAAGTAACACAAAATAACATATGTGCACAGTTTAAATTTATGTTTATTAATAAAAATAAAAGTTTATTTGTTTAAACAAACAAAATAATAATACTAATACTAATGATAATTATTAGTTTACAAAAATAAAAATTAAATTGTTCAAAACAAAGTAAAAAGTTTGTAATTTTTATTATTTAAAAAATTTTGTCATAAATTATATTCAAAACTGATATTTTATAGAAATGATCAAAACTTTAACATAAAGTATGTTAAAGGATTCAAATTATGACTAATGATAAAAATCATTGTTATCTAACAACAGAAAATCAAATTATGATATTATAAATAATTTTCATATACTTTATAATAATAACTTTCAAAATGATTAATCATAATTTAGATTTTTTATATACTGTACTGATATGTATATTGATATAATAGAAAGTATAAAATAATAAATTATTAATACTAATAGTAAACAAACAAAGCTATTTTACGATTTACAATATTTATGAACTTAATGTTAATAAATACTGTATATAAGTGATATATCTGTAATACATATTTTGTATATTTGAAATTTTAATAAACAAAAAATAAGTTATTAAAAAAAAATATTTTATAATTATAGGTCTACTAAATTGCTATTATCAGTGATTTTATTAAATATTAATACAACTAAATAAATCCAACCTTCATATATGGGTTAAAGCATTTTGAAACAATTTTATTTATAAAATAAATATATTATTATTAATATAGAAATTTATTAAAATATTATTATCAAATTAATTTAAAGTATAATATTTTTATAATAAGTATATAATTTAAAACTATTAATAATTAACACGTATTTTATATTAATTTTTATAGATTTTTATAGATTTTTATAGTTTTTTATTATAAATTTTTTTATACTTCATAAAATCTTTGATAATATTTAAAAATTAAACTAATGAGTAGTAAAAGATATATTTTAATTCATTTAAAAATTTTATAAAATACAATTAACTTAAAACATGTTCATATTATCTATTTTTATTTATAAATTTTTAAATCCTTATTATTTTTTTCATACATCAATTGTTAAAATTTACTTTGTATTTTATATTAGCTTTATGTAAAACTTTTGTTATTTTAAAATGATATTAAATATAATTTAATTACATTACATTATTATATATTTTATTTTTATATCATAAATTGTTTCACAAATAATCTTTAATTTATTTATTTTAGTTTATTTTATACACTTTACAAATATGATTTAATACAGTAATTCTAAAAAAATATTTTAAATTAAAAACAACATATCAGTCAAAATAAGTAATAATAATAATGAGTTCATTATTTTAAATAATATGTACTGTCAGTAATTATATTAAAATATTTATTGTCTGCTTTATTATTTTAATAGATTTACCAATTTTATATATTTCATTACAAATAATACATATTTTATTATTTTTGTGCCATTAATATAAAAATATAAAATATAAAGTTTTAATAAAAAATTACAATTTAAAAGTTATACTTTATTGCAGTATCATTTTTATTTTGCAATTACAAAATCAATTGACAAATAATCACTTTCTTATTTAAATTAATAAATATATAATTATTGAGGTTATCCTTAAAACATCGGAAGGGTTTATTTTATAATATATAATATATTATTTTAAACAAAATATCCGTAATTCTTATTTATTAATAATTGCTATTAATTAGAAAATTACATTTAATCAATGAATTAAAGTATTAAAAATTTGCAAAATTAATTCACAAAATACTTTGTTTATTTGTTATACTTATAAATAAATTAATACAATTCAACCAAAGCGTGAGATCATTATTAAAGAGAGAGAGAGAGAGAGAGAGAGAGAGAGAGAGAGAGAGAGAGAGAGAGAAAGAAAGTTCATGACATTATCAAACCTAATTAATTGCCAATTGTATACATTTTGCCAATAATTTAAACAATAAAATATTTATTTGTAAAAGTCTTGTTTAATAAAGTAAATAATTATTTCACAAATAATTCTAATTTACTATTATTGTGTCCTAAATTTATAAAATATATTATTATTGTTTGCGTTTATCTCATTAAATAATATGTGTTTAATAATTAACAAAAATTTAAACAATTGTAATATGTAATATTTAAAAATGTAATAAAAGTGGATATGTCTTTAATATTAACACTTAACTCTTTCAAAAAAGTATACTACTCATTTAATTTAACTATAAAAGTAATTTTTATTAATTTATAAATACAGTGACAAAAATATCAAATTAGTCCATAATTTTGTTAATGTCTATTATATATAATTTATTTTATCAATTTCCTATTTATGATATATTAATAGATAGTTATATGATATACCTTCCGAATATTGGTTACGAGTGATAATAACTTATTAAATAAAAGTTATCTGTTATCTTAATCACAGCATAAATGAAAGTATAATAAACTATTAAAAATTTACGACAATTTTTGTAATGTAAATGAAAATGTAAAAGTAAAATAAAAAACAACAATATTTATAATGTTAAATATTGTAGTGAATTTATTAAGCTTAATCATAATTTACTATATAAATGTATATTTATTTTATGTCAAATTAGAAACTTATAAAATAAGTAATATCTATATAAACTTTATTATCATAAGAATAGACACAACAAATAAATGTTTAATTACTTAAAAAGTATAAAAAATATTTTAAACAAACAAAGTTTAAAATAAGAAATAGTTATATCAATCTATTAAAATTATTTTGACACTAGTTTTAAAAAATGATCAATTACTACATTTTATTACATTTATTTATTTAATAACAATATATAGTTGTATTATAATTTTTATTGATTAGTTATATTATAGAATCAATTTTTAATATCAGTTAAATCAATGCCAATGGTTTAAAACTAGTAATTAAGTATTTTATCGAATATTATTTAACATTATATTATATAATATAACCTACATTTCTGTTTGTTTTCTATCATTTAATTTTGATTTTATAAATTAAATTTACCTAATATCTATTATTTATTATATTAAAATCAAATTGAAAATATAATAAAACAATGTATTAATTTAAAATTAATGCAATAAAAAATATTTTAACATTACAGTAGTTAATTGTGACCAATACTTAAACATAATATTATCAATTCATAGATTTCCTATTTGAACGTAACATTTATCCACTTTTATTATCAAATAATTGTTAAATTCGTGATATAATAAAATTATAATAGTTTATTATTGCTTCAATAGTCTCATTATATATCATAGTTACTATATTATAGGATAGTATATCAACAAAATTACAGATTTATTAAAATAAATAAGTTATGAGTAAATTATTTGAAAAATGATTAGTAATTTTCTGCTAAATTGTGATTTGTATTATTTTAATGCACAGATTTGATGTGACTTCCTATCAAAACTTTAGTTAAATTAAATAATAAACAGAAATATTTAGTTTAACAGCAAATATCTAACTTATTTTAATTATACTAAACTTTAACTTCAAGTTTTCAATGTTTTTTAATTTAGTGTAACATGTAGTGCACTCTATAATCTCAAATAATTTACATGTATTTAATTTAAATAAAAATAAAATAATTGAAAATTATAATAAAAATAACATTGTATACATAAAAATGTATAAATTATATGATATCATAACTCAACCCATTATTTGTTATGACACTCCCACTCATTACTTAATATATTTTATTATGCCATACTGTATGGCCCATACATTAACAATAACATAAGCACAATATTAATGTTAATAACACATACTATATTAGCTTAAGTGGTCAGTCGTGTGTCGCACCGTTAGATAATAAAAAATAGGTAAAACTGTTTTGAAACACTAATAATAGTAACACAAATATTTTTCTTAAAAAAATTATAACACTTAAAGTTAGTATTATTATTATTATTATTAGTTGTAGTAGTAGTACATTATAATAATAAGTTTTTAAAAAATATACACTTTATTATATTCTCAATAATTACTGTCCACTGATTTTATAATAAAAGTTATTTTAACAATCAGTTGTTGAACTAAATATAGAACAGAAAAATTATATTAAATATTAAGAAATATATTTTTGTTTCACTAAAAATGTAAATTTTTGTTTCAAATAGATTTTTTTGGTATCTTTTTGTTGACATTTATTTATTTTTAGTTTAGTTAAACATACAAACATTTAAAGACAGTCAAACTGTTTTAGTTTATGAATGGTGTAAATAAAAGTTTTCTCTAAGTTCTCACTTATTGTTGATTTTTATAGTAAAATGTTTTCAAAAAAAGTTTACAAAATCTAACAAAAATAATAGTTTTTAAATAATAAAGTTTATTTTAAAAAGTATTGATTTTGTGTTAAAAATTATTTTAAAACATGAGATATTCATTGATGAAAATACTGCTCGTCCTAGTGTTGGGTTTGATCACCCGATGCCAGTCGTATAGTCACCTAAAATATCTGTTACCAATCATCAAAAAAGGTGCGGTGGCCGCTGCAGGTCTGGCCAGTATAGGATTGGGAGGCAAGAAAATAGTACCCATACCTATTCCTATACCAATTGAGTAAGTTATTAATGATATTCATAATTTTTATATCATATTTCAATTTATAATCCAAAAATAGATTTTTACTAAAATATTTTACTTTATAAAAATTAATAGATTATTCCCGCCGCCCATTATTGGTCCTCCAAAACCACCACCATTTCTACCGCCACAACCTGTGGTAATAGGTGTGGGCAAAGGTTACGGAAGATTGCTTGGTCCGGGAGGTTTTACTGGAGTTGGTCCTGGTGGTCCCGGCACTTATTACAGTGGTGCCAGTGGATGGGGCGGTGCATTGGGCGCACCATTTGGTGGCGGTTTGGGTGGAGGTTTTGGTGGAGGTTTCGGTGGCGGTTTTGGTGGGGGTGGCGGTTTTGGTTATGGCTAATAAATTACTATATTATGTCTTATAAACTGTTAAATAAATGTATATAAAGATTAATGTCATCATCATTGTTTTAACAAATATTTTAATTAAATAAAATTTATACAATAATTCTTAATATCAATATATTTATATATAGATAATACAAATATTATATATAAATTATATACCAGTATATTATAATAATACATGTTTATATAAAATAACAAAAATTGCAATAATCTTTGTGGTATTTTGGTTTGTTTTTATATAATATAATTAATATTTGTGTCTAGTCTATTTTACATGTTATTTGCTAAAAATAAAGTTGAATTTAACAATAAACGTATTATTTTTGTTATTTAATTAAAAATTGCTTATTTTGTTTATATAAAAAATAAAAGAAATGTTTTTATAACCCTTATTCATAATATTAATTAAGTTAAATAGTGTTTAAATTTTTATTTTATATAATACAGTATCTATAATTATTACTGTATAATTTAATTGTAATATATTAATTAAGTAATATTATAAAAACAATACTGTATTGATTGAATCTATCTTTAAAATTAAAATATTTTGAATTGACATATAATTAAAATTCTTTATTTTATTTACTAAAATTTTTAATAATCATTTTAAAAATATTTAATTAAAATAAAGTATTAATATTTTTTATAGGAATTATTACCATATCTTTTAATAATATGTTTTATAAAAAATTGTATTATATTTTGGTTTATTTATAAACTAAATTAAAAATATGTTGGCAATAGTCCGGTACAGTACTTGCAAATCACGTGATTAGATAGAAAGTGCAATAAACTATTGGGTGTCCAATGAATGGACGGTAGAGAAAGTTTTTATTATAAAAATTAATTTTTCAAAAGTGTTTATTAAAGCATAATATTTGTTAAGTAAAAGTTTTTTTAGAAAACTCAGTTTATTTGTTAATCAAATCGTGAGAAATTAAACGATTGTCAAAAATATAAACTCTTGTATTAATAATTTTTTGTTTGTTTTGTGATTTTATGTAAAACAAAAATCAACGAAAAAATCACTAAATATGAGATTTTATTTTAAACGATTAGTTTTTGTATTTTTGATTGTTTTGTTAATAATATGCAAAACAAATGGTAAATATCATAAATATTTGAAATATCTTCCGTACGTCAAAAAGGGAGCACTCCTTGGTTTGGCTATGACTTATGGAAAAACTAAAATACCGATTCCGATACCGATTCCAATAACTGTTGAGTAAGTATTATAAAAAAATTTAATCAATTATTACTTATATTTAATGAATTTTTCATAGTGTACTTCAACCACCTATAGTTGGTCCTCCCTTTCCTCCATTTTTCCATGGTAGCTTTGCTGGACCTCATGGAGCAGGGGGTGGAGGTGGAGGCTTTGGTGGAGGATTTGGTGGAGGCGTTGGGGGAGGCGGGTTTGGTTTTGGTGGGTTTGGGAGACGATAATCGTGTATAGATTTAGACAAATAATTTGAAATTATACTAAAAATATTTTATAATACATAAAAAATTCATTCAAAAATTCTTCATTACGCCATATATTTCAAAATTACAAAATATTTATCATTGGTTTATATATATTTTTTTATATAATCATATAATAAAAATTTATATAAAATTTATAAATTTTAATGTTTTTTATGAGAAATAAAAAATTGATTTATAATTATTATAATTTAATATAATCTTTAAGATATGGTGTTGGTATTATCAGTGGTGATGGGATTAAAAATTTTTAAAAATTGTTTTCAAATATAAAACATTATATTCTAGTCCTGTAAATATATTATACACATAATTTTTATAATAAATAAATGTTTTTAAATTGATTATTTTATTTAATAATTTACTTTTTTGTATATTTTATTAGTGCATGTTATAAAATGTAACTTTAAATAATGTTAATTAATTGTATTATTTGTTTAAATAAAGTATTATATTTATAATCAAGAATTATAATTAATTTCAATAATTAATATTGTAAATAATAAATTATATCTGAGTGTGCTTAATAATATTTTTATGATTATTTTTTAAAAGTTATTAGATTAGATTTTTATCTAAAATTGTAATATATAAATCTGTATATTTATTATTATACTGTAAAATACAGATAACTAAAAATACATAATCTTAATTTTTATGAATATTATTATTTAAATTGTATAGTATTATATAATTTACATAAATATTAAAATCATTAAATAAATAGTAGTTTACTTATGAATGACATTAAAATAAGTAACAATTTGCGAGAAAACATAAAATTAAAGTAATACTGACCTAAAAGTTTCGGACAGTTGATTATGATATGGATAGTAATGCCAGTCATACAAAAAATCACATTTATTTAATGTATATATTTATAAAAATTGTTTACTTGTTTTTGACATTTAATTAATTTTTATGTTTTTGATTCTATAAATAAAAGTTATGAATGCATAATATTATATATAACTGTTATTATTATCATTATAAAAAATTATAGATGAATAAATTGTGGCAAAACTTAGATATCATTTTATTTCCAGTTATTTTGGTTCCGTATTGTAAATTTAAATTATAATTTAAATTATTAGATATATTTTGTGAGAAAAACATAAAAATAGTTACTATTTATGGACAGTGGAAACGGACTGTCGCACCGACATCTCATAACACCCCCACTTGTTTTCCCTATTATTAATTATATTTAAAGTGTTTATATGTAATAATCCAATAAGAGATAAGTGTTCACGAAGTAAAAGTGTCCATAAAATAGTAGGAAAAACACTTTTACTTAAATTATAATAATAATAAATACAAATAAATTATATTTGTTTGTATTAATAACATTTTTTTAAATATAATAATGTTTTTATGACAACTTTATATAGATTAGAGTCACACACTATATAAATACAAAGATTAGAAAAAATATTGTCATTTCATTTTATAAGACACACGAAACAAAAGTTTTTATTATTACTAATATATAATAATAATAATGTGATTTAGTTTTTATTTGAAAAATGAGTTAAACTTTTTAATGCAATTGATTTTTAGTTTTGTGTTTGAATGTAGAAATTGATTTTTGTTTGTTTTTTGTTTTATTTGTATTTGAAATTTGAAAAATGAGATTATCGACTGCATTATTGTTTGTTATGTGTTGTGTGATATACGATGAGATCTATCGGTGCAATGGGTTTACTGATCACCACTTTAAGAGGCAATTATTTCATTTCCTATTCAGACATAAACATCATTTGAAGAAAAAGGGCGCCGCCCTCGGAGCCGCTGCTTTAGCGGCCGCAGCAACCAAAAAGAAAAAAGTGATCCCGGTCCCTTTTCCTCTACCTATACCGTATGAACTATACTTAACATTTAGTATGCTATTGCTAAATTAACTAGATAATATCTTTATTCAATTATAGGATTATTCATCAACCAGTAATACATGACCCATTGTTAACATTAAAGTATATAAAACAAGCAAAGTTTCATAATCTCGGTTTCGGTGGATTACACGGAGGTTTGGGTGGATTTGGTTACGGTTAACACACTTATCCTACGTTTACATTATATCTATGCTGTTATTTTACATGACATGCAATTTATAAGCCACAATATTTTCATTATTTTAAAATCATCAAAAGTTTTTTCGTAAATTTATGTTAACATATATTTGTTGTCAATTGTTTTGTATGTTCATAATTGTTATAATAATTTTCGATTATTATGTAAATATCTGTATGTACTGTCTGTATATAATTTGTTTTATTTTTTGTTTTACTTTAATGTCTAGTCTGTCATATGTAATAAATGTTAAAAATTTGTGACAAATAATATATTTGTAAAGATTTAAAGTTAAAAAAAATAATAATTAATTAGAATTTTTTTTAATTTAATTTTATAATGACACTGTAAAAATATCGTTGTTATAACACATAGTATATTTTATACTATTAATTGTCAATTATTATATAATCAGTTATTATTATAAAATATAAATATAACAATGATATTATATTTAAAACATTAAATAGACTTGGTTAAATATTATAAAACAAAAATTTAAACAATATTTAAATAAATATTTATTTTATTTAAATGTAAAGTTTTTTGATACGTCAAAATACAGTTGTTTAATATAATATTTTATAATAAAGTACTTAATTATTTTCATTTCTATTAATAACCATATTTATTTACAGATAAAATATATTATGTATACTTAATGAAAAATTTTCTATAATATTTAAAAATATTAATATTGATTAATAAAAATTTGATTTTTTAGATTTATAAATTTAATTTAAATAGAAATTACAAAAACATATTCATAATAGAAAAAATGTATAGCTTTACTATTAAATTAACTTTTTTATCAATTAATTTTATTGATCATCAAATATACTATTCATTGCATTTCCTGGTTTATAGTAATTACGATGACAATCATTTCATATAATATAACTATATTACGTATACTGTATATACTGTATTACCTGGATTATATAATTTAATGGCTCAGCCCTACAAAGGCTTTTGTCCTAATATTAAGTATAGTTTATAAATACTGTATTTTAATTTCTTTATAGAAATGTATGTCTCTATGTTAAGTTGGTTCTGGTTTTGACCGGCAGTTTGGCATTAAAATTATATAAAGACTTACAATATATTGTATATATTAAAGTCAATTACCAGTTTGTGTTCCCAATTCATGTGACTTAGCACTCGTAGTACACGTGCTGTCATTACAGCATTATTAGATAAATGCCATCGACTATTGGGTATAGGTATTCATAATATAAATCATCTCTAATAACTATAGCCAAGGTTATCAACATTTCTATGTATACTTAAATCAATTCAAATGTTTTATAGCTAATACAGTATAAATATATTTTTAAGTATTTAGTAAAAAAAATAAAATTTAGAAAATTTAGTAACTTTTTTGTGCAATAAACTAGAAATAATATAAATATGATAAAATTACATAACAAATACTGTATATTTATTTTAGTCTACTGTATACAAATATAAATCTAGCTAGCACATTCATACAGTAATTACAATAAATATTTTATGTACATAAACTTAATTTATTTTGGATAAGTTAGCGATTAAATAAATAAAAAGAAAATTTTAATGTGTATTTTCATTTGTAATTTACCGTAGATTAGAAAATACTAATAAAATATATGGAAAATTTGAACATTTTTGTTGTTGTCTTTATAGGGGAAAAAACAAAAAATGTTTCAAAATGTACATGGGTTATTTTTAGTAATGCTGTCAATAAATCCATGTATAAGTTGAATGACCGTATCATAACATTAATTTAATATTAACTTTGTAGACACTCTCTACAATCTACAGTACAGTACAATAATTTTATTAATATTGCATATAATGTATTGTTTTAGTACTGCAAATACTATTGTTTATTCTATGCTTTTCTACAACAAAAAAACTATTATATTATAGTAACACTTTAAATATGTGTCGTGTAAGTTATATAATATATTATTTTATATAATTAATAATTATGTAATTGTGAATGTAATGAATTCAAGTTATTTTAATTTTAAAAATCCTATATTACTGTATAATAATATTTAATTACAAATGCAGTTTATATATGAATGTGAATAATGTATTGTACAGTAAATTTACAAAATATCATTTTATAAATGTATTTTATTTTTTATATATTATACAGTAGTATATTTAGAATTAACATTAGTGTACTGGATGAAAAAAAATGTTCATTAATAAATTACGTGATTTAACCTGATACTATTTGTAATTAGCGATAAAACTAAAAATCTATGTATAAGAGCCCATAACTTGAAGTCCCGGTGTTCACGTATAACATTGTATGCTATCAGCTGTATCAGTGAACCTACCAGTGCCTGCTATAGTGGCATTGGATAATCTTTGAGTACTTCAATTCATTCAAAAATTTCGCAATAGGAGCGCAGTTATACAGAGCCTACGGGCACTGTTAGCTTTATATAGTGATGCTATAGCTATAGTATGTATGCCTTTTAAAAAGTTGTATATAAAAGCCATGAAAGACGAGATCTGTTTGAATATACATTTATATAAAGAGAGCATTAAGTGAAACATTGAGTTTGTATAACAAAAAAATATTATTAGTATTATTTTGTCCAATAGTTGTCTTTTTTAATAGTAATTATTATTTTTGTCTGCAAACAAATCAAACAACAAAATTAGTTTCATTACCAAAAATATGTTTACTATTATTATATAAGTGTTTTTTTCTTGTTGTGCAATATTTGTGCTAAATTTAGTTATTTTACACAATTTTTGTTGTTTTGGTTTTTGATTTTTTTGATATTAAACTGAAATTAAATATTTATTGGATTTTTTGATCATTTTTTTCCATTGGTTTCCTAATATGATTACCACTATTACTACTACTACTGCTATAGTAAGTGATTATAATAAAAGTCGTGTAAACGATAGTCTCTATTATTATTATATGAAGAGTTCATTGATTGCCACATACTGTCAAATGTTTAACAAAATGCATCAAATGTTATATACAAAAATGTTTTGTTGGCATAAACTCTATAAGAAGTTTAGCTAAACTTTTAATTTAATTAAAAATAATTAAATAAATTACAAATTTATTGTCGATAAAAAAAAGTTTTATTTCATTTATATAATATATAACGCGAGTGACTATTAATACTGTAATAACTTTGAGATTAAGTGACAAAATGTTTACTGAATTAACAGTAATGACAATGAAATCGCCGACAAATCGTTTGATTCAATTTGTGTTAAACAATGGGACACATAGTCGACAGCCTTCTGTGCGGACTATTATGACGTCCAGTCATGAGATCGAGACCAAGACATATACTAATGGCACTAATGGTCACACAAAGTATAGCTTTAATAATAATGGGCCGAATGGTAACTATAGCATTAACAACGGTAGCCCAGGGGGTACCCCCTATAGAAATGGTAACTCAAGTTGTGCCGTCTCAAGGAGTGTTAACTGGTTTTACAATCAGTCGGCCATCGATATCGCAGCCGCTAAGGTATGTCTAATAGATATGTTGGCTATTAATTGATAAAACTATTCAAGTGATAACTATATACTGTATTATCCCAAAGATATTTATTTGCATTACAAACACAATAATAATTTTTAATATTTTTTTCAATTAATTATATAATCATGTATTTCATATATAAATATAAATATTAATAATAATTTAATTAATCTAACGATAGATTTATGTGTGAAAAGTTTAATAATGGCATTTAATACATACTGTACAGTAGATTATAGAAGTAAAAAATTAACAAATTTATCAAAAAAGAAAAATTGCAAAAAAATAAAAACTTTTTCAATGTTAACTAAAATAAAAATATATTGAATTGTGTGTGTGTTTTGTTGTTTTTAAAAACCGTTTTCAATGTCTGTTACAAGTTTAGTATCAATGATAGTATTTGTCTGTTTTGATATTTTTATTGAATGCTATTTAAATGTCTTAACGTTATATTTAATGTGTATTTTATATATTATATAAAAAATTTAAAAATAAAACTAGTTGTTTTATTATATTTGCTATTATGATATTATATTAACAAATATTGTTTAATAACCAACAGTACTTATAATCAAATTCATTAAATAAATATTAATCAATATAAGTAATTATTAACTAAACTAAATTGCTTAACCGTTAAATTTTGGTAACATTGAAAGTTATGAAATATTTTTAATAATTAGTCTGCATTTTTGCAAATGTCATATGAGCTTAAAATTGATAATCATACAAATTAACAATTAAAGTTAATAAGATTTTATATATAAAAAAAATTATTAATAAACAAATTTTATTAAACATATAAATCATGAGTATATTAGAGTTTATGATTAGATTTTGTCATTTTTGGTCTTTTATATGATGCGTATGCTATCCTTATAATATATATATATATATGGTATATGTATATACAGTATAGTATATGTACAGCATGTATGCATTACACGCTTTTTTAAGTATTATTACATAATTTTGTGTTAATATTTAGACTAATCGGTGTGAGTGTCACATGCAATATGGATGTACAGAGCAGTGCAATACAATACTACTGCACTGTTATTAACAAATGATTAAATGCCGGATATTTGCCAATTAATTAATTAATTTATAAGCAAAATGTGTATACTCTTAAAGTCCAGACAGTATATCAGTTTTTTGTACAAAAAAAAACTATATATAAATTAAATTAAATGATTAATTAATTGGTAGGTGAATGAATGACATATTAATTTTGTTAGAGATAATTACTTTAAAATATACATCTATATTCTTGATTGACATTATGTATAACTTAATATATATATATATATATACAGTATATATGGGTCATATATAAATATAATTGATACGTAATTATATTAGGATAGATATTACTTAATTTAATATTAGACATTATTGAATGCATATAAATTTGTTAGAATTACTTATATTAAAAAATAAATAAAACTTTAATACTATATATGACATATGGGTTGTATATATTATGTAAACATTAAATTAAATGATAAGATAATCTAAAAATAAAAGTCTATAGTACGTCAACTTTTAGACAATATTATTGATTGAAAGTAAAAAAATTGAATTAATCACTTGTATTGAATGCCTTTTATTTACATTAATTATAAGTATATTTTTATTTATAGCCATCCGTGAGACTAACGCCGGCAACGATACTATATTCGGGTAAAAGTCCTGATGGCAGTCATCTATTGGTTTGTATTGATTTTTCAATTAACTATTTATAAATAAAAATTCCCATTTTATACAATAATTGAAAAAGAGTTTTCAAGTTTTCATATCATAAAACTTAATTATCAAAATAAATTTGCTCTTAATATATATTTGTTTACTTTATTTAATTAAACAAAATTGTTTTAAAAGACTTCTAAATTAAATTAAATTGTTTAAATTAAAATAACAATAATAGAATATTTATTTTTTAAATTTGCAATTATTTTTATAATCAATTATTAGTTAATTTTGATATATAATTTATTATTAAATATTTGAAATTATTCTATATTTTGAAAGTTATCATTAATATTATTAATTTAATAATATTTACAAATACTTACTTATAAATAAATTTAAAACTAAAAAACATGTAATTTCCTTATTTATTTGACAAATATTTAGTTTTACTAATTTTCAAAATTGTTAATAATAGAGAAGTGCATTGTATCTGCAAAAAGAGCTACCGGTGCGTATCGCTCATAGAATCGCTGGGTTCCGTGCGCTACCATTTCTGGTCGGATGCAATCCTACGATACTAGCCGTCCATGAGATGTATATCCGAGCTTTTTATATGTTATCAGAGTTTCCGCCGGTACTTATATACTGCTATCACAATGAGATACAGATTAAACTAAAATAATTTTTGATTTGTATTGAAGATAACTGACTTCGAGTCTGAAAAGGGTTATTCAAATCTTTTGAGACAATTACTGGAAACACATAAGAATGTTGTCACACAACTGGCCGAAGGTTTTCGTGAGTGTCGAAAACATATTCAGGTATTATATTATTATTTTTAAATAAGATTTTATTAGTTTATTAACATTTTGACATTCAGAATGAAGACCTCGTGAGACAATTTTTGGATCAAACTTTGACCTCTCGTTTGGGTATACGTATGCTCTGTGAGCATCATTTAGCATTTGCTGAACCCGATGATAGGGAACGGGCTAACTATGTGGGCATTATTAATGTTGCGATGCGACCCAAGGATGTGGTGGAAAACTGGTGCGAATATGTGGCAAATATGTGTGAACACCATTACGGACGGGCGCCTCCTTTCCGGATCAATGGTCACGTGAACGTTGCCTTTCCTTATATCCAAACTCCGTTAGATTATATACTACCAGAGCTTCTAAAGAATGCCGTTCGGTATGCATTTAATTATCATTTTATAATCACATAATCAATGAGAGTATATTGAAAATGGAAATAATTTTTATTATTTATTTTCTTTAAAAAAGTTAAAGTATTATTAACTTTTATGTTGGACTTATAATGAGGTCATTTAATATATAAAATTGACATACATTGTGAACAATATATTTACATTTTAAAGTAATTTCTAATTTTAGATTTATATAAAATTAATGAAAATTACAATATTTTAGTAAATTGTTGTAAAATTGCAAATCATATATTAAGGCAATTAGTATTTTATATTTAGGTCATTTTCTCTCTCTCTCTCTCTTATCTTTTTTTTAAAAATGAATTTTAATGATAAAATGAATTTTTATGACACAATAGAGCAACTATTGAGGCACACGTGGACTCACCAACATTACCGCCTATATCTGTGACAATAGCGTCCAATGACACAGATTTTATTATAAGAATCACTGATAGAGGCGGTGGTATAAGACATCATTTGGTTGATTTGGTCACTCATTACCACTTCAGTACGGCTGGTGAGACCATTGATAGTCGCTTAGATGGAGGCATATTGGGTCAGATAATGAAAGACTCTGCGGCCAGTGCTTCGCCAATGCATGGCTTCGGGTTTGGTTTGCCTACCAGTCGGGCGTACGCTGAATACTTGGGCGGAAAATTGACAATAGAGTCAATGCAAGGCATCGGTACTGATGTTTATCTGAGATTAAGACATATCGACGGAAAACAGGAATCGTTTAGAATTTAATATTTTATTAAATTTAGTATTTTTTATTTAGATTATTATTTTAATTTTTAATTACCGGTAAGTGATTTCTATTATAGAAAAGTTTATCTAAAGTAAAATTTAATAATTTTCGAAAGTTAACAACAAATTGGTTATCGATCTTATCTTTTAATAATCTTATAGTAATAGTAATTTATAATTAATATTTACTGTAATCTTATATGAAATTAATATTAGATTAATTATATAAGACTTTTTTAATTTTCTATAAATTGCAAAATCTATTTTTATTATACTCTGATAAAAACAATTAAATCATATAATTAGATATTTTAAAATTTTCAATTGTTTTCTTGTATTTAATTCTCTTTTATATATATACCTGTGATATATAGTCCATTATAATATTATATAATATTAAGTCATTATTATATCGATTAAATTAAATCAATTATTTTAATTTCTATTATATTATGGTATTTCTTATCATGTATAAATAATTGTGTATTTCAATTTTAATTTATAACAAATTATGAATATATAATTAAATAATAAACTTTTAATATCAAAATTGGTATAATTATTGTAATAATGCATTTTATTAGATTTTATTCTAATTATTAAACATTCAATAAATAATGTTTTGTATGATGTTTTAAAATTATTAAATATTTAATATACTCAATGATAAATACAATTATTGATGATTAATATCTACTGTATTATAATAATCGACTGTATCATCATTTCGTTAATATGTTTATATAATACTAATATAAACAATGATAATATTTAGTAATAATATTAATAATTTTTAGACCAAATATAACAAAAATTATAGTTAATTTACCGTAATTTTAAAGAGTTTTTAACTAAATTTTTCAAAGTATGTGATTTTATTATATATATGTATATATACTATTTTTGCGAAAGTTATGTCGTTTATAATATTAACTAATTATAATTATTTTAAAAACATATCTAATAATGCAACAAAACTATTTTGAAATAACATTAAATATATGAGTGTATTATAAATTTATAACATAAATTTAAAAAAAAGTTTTTTGTAGTTATCGATACTAATACTGTATATAAAAGTAAATGTTAAAGCAATACAAAAATATTAAGTTAACTAAAAGTATGAGATCTGACCATTAGTTAACCACCACTGCTGATGAAGAGTACGAGTTGTGTGTTATTATTATTATTGTTAATATTATTTATATATGAAAAACACCATTTTATTTGTATATAAATCAAATATTTATATAACTTTGTTAATACAAATTTTTTTTAATATAGCATTTATTTTAAATTCTTGCAAATTATAATCATTTATTTATGAAGTTTTTAGGATATAACTATGATATAACTAAAATTTATAAAAAAATTAATTAATAAATCTAAATATTAGTTAATTGAATTGAGCTAGATAAATAATTGAAAATAATGATAAACATTCAAAGCTACTATAAGTAATACAATATATTAAGTGTTTATCATTGATTTATTAATTAATAGATAATCGAGTATTGCGTTACTAAATATAAGAAAATGAAAATAATATAATTTACTATTGTTTTCATTTTCTTATATTTAGTAACGCAATACTCAAATATCTATTGCACGCAAAATTAGTAACATAATATCAGTTATCCATTGTATTTTTATTAACTCAAATAATATGAATAATTTTAATATAAAAACATTAATTTAATTTTGTTAATTTTAAATGCTGAATTATTTTCTAAAAAATTATAGTTTACATTATAATCAGTATTATATTATATAATTTACTGTAGATGTGCAGCACAATTGGTGTACAATAGTTATAAATTTAAATTAAATTTAGATATATTTTAATTGCTATACAATCTATTTATATAACGTTTTATTTTTATCGTCTACTTAACATTAGTTTCTTTATAAAATCATTAATTACTAATCAATTTATCAATGATTCACTTATAAATCAAAAAGTTAACAATAAATGTATAAATTTAGTTTATTATAAAAAAGTCCTTATTATCTAATTAACATGGTTAATTTAATTTAAATTAACAAAAATACTATTAAAAAACTATTATATTTAATGGTTTTATTATATAGGATATTATTACTTATTAATTAAGATAAATGTTAAATATAATAGTTAAATTATTTATAATTAAAATGTTTTGTTATTTACATTAAAAAGTAAATTATTTTAAAAATGTTATATGAATTAAATAAGAAAATAATAAATAAATAAAAAGTTTTTTAAAGCAGATCTACTGTAAATAAAATGACTAAAATATTAGAGAGTTTTATCTAATCTTCTAAATTATAATTATTATTATTTCTAATAAATAATGAATTTGCGATTATTTTAAGCTATTTGGCGACATAACAATAAAAAATTAATTTTTGTTAAAAATTTTAAGATTTTATTTATAGTCATTATATGACAATTTATATTATATTATTTTCACTACTGTTTAGCTTTTTAATCAATTTTTATAAAAATTAATTATAAATATATAAATTGTGAAAATTTAACACATTAATTTAAATTTTAAATAATTATTTTATTTATACCAGATTAATATATAATTGAATTATACATTTTTTGAAAATAGCTTTAATTAAATTGTTTTAATTTTATGTAATTTGTAATTATTTAATTAAATCGTTTAAGATCATACAAATAATAAAATATAGTTAGTTTTATAGTTTTATTAGACTTAATTTCATAGTTATCATTATGATTATTAACAAATTTTTACAATAAATATAATAAATGTTAAAAAAATAAAGCAATATATAATATACTAGGTAATATATATTTACTTAAATTTAATATTTTTATAGCGGTTATTTAAAAAACACAATCATAAATATATATTTCAATTAAAATAATAATTAATAAATATTATAAAAAAAATTATAAATTAATTATACAGATAATATTAATTGATTCATTAGTAAAAGTAATTAAAGTTTGCTAAATTTATTTTTTAATAAAAATAAGCATGATCATTTTTAATAAGCAATTTCTATCTAAGTTATTAAAAAAATAACTTTAAAATACATGTACGATATATTATATATATATATATATATATATATTTATTTATTTGTATTTAGAATATTATATTTAAAGAAAATAAATATTCTTAATATGTCCTAAAAATCTAAATAACAATTAAAATGAAAAAACTGTTTAAATATTAATTATTTAATCTCAAAAACCGATATCCCATTAATTTTTCCCTATAATTTCATATCTATTTTATTTGATAAATGTAAATCTGAAGTAGTGATAATAATACTAATACTAATAATAATTTTATCGTATATTTTCTCTCACTTTTAAACGCCCCCAAAGCTAACTAATAGAAAGACAATTATATTTATTTTGGTATTTGAAATCTCTCCATCAGACTCCTAGTGTTTCCTCTTTTAATTTGTTTTAATGTCTTAAACTTATCTGCGCTCGACATTTGTGATCCATCCATATTGTTGTTGTTGTTGGTGTTGTTATTTGAATCTCCCTTTCCGTGTGACGACCACTTCTTCAGAGTGCTCTTAAAGCCGGCCATCTCTTTGAACTCATCCTCATCTTCCTCTTCCTCGTCGTTCAAATGTTTAGTATTGTTATTCTTGTCTCCATTGGTTGCCCCATAGGTTCCGATCTCAAAGTGATTGTCGCGTTGATTGCGATTTTCAACCGGATCTTCAGTGTAATGATTGATCTCTTCTTGAATAACAGCTGATCCGACCGTAATATCTGTCTCAATGTCAACTTCATGATTATCATCAACCAATTCATGCTTTTCCTCTGAATGAACGACAATCGGAATATGATTTTCGTGATTATCCTCGTGTTTCTCGTGTTTCACATGGGTTTCATGGGTAGTGGTTTCAGTGGTTTCATTATCTCTGATGTTTTCGTGAATTTCAGGATTACTGGTAAGTATACTCTGAATTTCATTGATAACACTGTGTCTCTGATCCGCATACTCGTCATCTGACGGCGCAAATCTGTGAGGTTTGTGTTCGTCATCTTTTTCTGAGTCCTGCTCCTGATTATTGCCTTCTTCTTGTGTTAAAAAGTCATCAACTGATCCATTTGTGTGGTTTTCGTTATGATCATCGTTTGGCTTTGCATGTTTGTCTTCATGAGTCTCTGCGACCACCACATGCTGTTCTGATTCATTTTCTCCATTTTTCCATCGACTTTCAGCACCGGTATGTGTGGAAAACTCTTTGTCCATCATTTGACTCAAACGATCAATAAGTTTTCTTTCCTCATAACGAATGAAGTCGTCAGCCGTATCTTTGCTGCCATTTTGCTGCACTTCTTCATGTTCTTCATTGCTTTCAGGTTCAGGACTGGACACACGTTTTGCAGCAATTGGTTGATTGTTATCGTCATCTAGTGATGGACTGGTAGGTGTTGCCAAAGTATGGTCGACTTCGGTGGCGGACATCTTCTTCTTCTGATTTATAATTTGCTTATTAAGACTACAATAACAACTACTACTGGTTTCACCACAAATATAATTATTATTAGTAATTAAATAGTAATTATTGTTTGATTTAATACTATCGACACAATAATGAGTACACTCTTTGACACCAAAAACTTTTTTTCACGCAATACTTTGTGAAACTTATAGCAAAAATAGCATTAATTGCAGTCAATCGTCGTCTTCGTGATAGTTGGCATACATTTATTTGATGGCAAACCAGCTATCAATCTATAAGTTTATTATTATTTGTCGCAATGAAATCAAAACCCTACTGTAATTGTCTTTGAATATAACTATTGTGTCACACACTTAATGATCACAATTACTGTCTCTTATCATAAGTTATTATGATTTTACTATAACTTATAATATTAATAATTCTAATAACAATAATAATATTATTATTACTAATATTAATTAATAAATATATAGCAAGTAATGTATATATGTTTATACAATATACTGATAAGCACTACCAACTTAAAGAGGTATCACCACTTATATTGTATTATAAAAACAGTATATTTCAACCAATTATATTATATTATTATTATTGAAGATATGGCAACAATTCTGCAAATATTGTAATAAAATAATATAATTTCATAAAGAATAGTCTAAAAGGTGTAACCAAATTAATGGTTGTACTAAACTAGTAATCATTAAAATCAGTTGTTAACTAATCATATATTTTTTATATAAGTTTCAAATTGTCACTGAAATTCACTTTTTTATTAAGTATATCAGTATTATATTGTTTTAAATACTGTATAATAAAATACAGGTACACTTCAGTCAGTAAAAAGAGACGTCGTCTACATATTTGTGAGAGTAAAGCATTTATTAATCATTTTTACAACACTTTGTTTCAATTAAAATGCTTAGTAATTATTATTATTATTATTATTAAAAGTTAAAAGTATTTTGTCATTAGTGATTATTAATTTATAAATTTAATTACAAATTCACATTTTTCTAACATATAAGCACTTTAATATAAAACGGGGACAATAATCACTTAATGTAATTTGATTTTTGAAAATACAATTAAATATTAAACTTTCGCTAAATATTATCAATAAGTTTGTTATCTGTAATTTGTTATATTTGACGAAATTTTATTTAAAAATAGCAGATTTTTAAAGATTATTTTTAAACACAAAAAGCCTTTAATTTTAATAAATACAAAAAATATAACAAATCTAACTTTATTTACAAAACCAAACTATTGTTTTCAAGGATTTTTATTGCCTGTTCTAGTATTTATAGTATCTTATTGTAGTTAACCGATAGATAATAATTAAATATATAAAAGTATATAAAATATACAACAATATGGAATAAAATAATATATAATATTCTTTTACTATTTATTTACTGAATTTTTATGTTGTTTAAACATATTTGTTTAAAAATCTAGTTTATATTTGATAAATAAAAATGTTTTAAATGTATTTTTATTTATATTTTAAAATTCTATAAAACATTATATTTTATGTTATTGTCTACAAATACATCAGATTATAATAGTATTTATTTTCTATATTATAATTATCTAAAAATTTAATTTATTAAAAAGGTTACAGCCTAACTCAACTCATAACATAAATGTTGAGCTGCATGTGCCGGGTTCAAACCTACCTAGACTTGACATTTGTATTTTTTAAAACTTTTAACTTAAAAGTTTTAAGTCCATGTGTGAAATGGACTACTCATTTGTTATAAGGTTTCACTGACACAATAATAAGCCGCACTAATAAATTATTTTATAAATTAAAATATTAATCTAATGTTTTTTAATAGTTTTCGTAAAAATATTATTACAGCTAATATTAAATAATTAAGAGTTGTAGTAGTAGTTGATATTAAATTGATTATTTAGAATTAATATATTATAATTACAGTACTTATACTATAATATTAATTTATATTAAACTAAATATAAATTAATATTATAGTTATTACAATTAGTGTATATTCATTAATTATTTCAATTTACTAATAATGATAATAATAATTGCAAGACATTAATATGTAATATTTGTTTACAATCAAATAATATTAATAAAATAAAAAATTGAATTATTATTAATTGAAAAATATTATAATTATGATAAACATAATATTAAAATACTTTTCATTTTAATTAATTAATTTGTTTCGAAATAATTTAATAGCATTTGCCGCAGCTTTTTGTTTAGCTCTTTCCAACTCCCGGTGCGAACCGCTAACTGTAAGAACAGACATCTTCTGACATATATTACTAGAAACGGGTATTATTTGAATAATATATTGAGATTCAGTCGAGACATTAGTTTGTGGTTTACATTTGATAATCACAGAACAGCCCAACAATTCAGTAATTTTTTCTAAAACATTCAGATAATCAAACTCTTCGTCTTCTTTATCCAAATCATCTAAAAAATTGATATTTAGGCCAAACATTGTCAGTAATTCATCGATTTTAGTGCTCATTATGTCCGGTAAAGTATCATAAAAATCATTTATTTTTTCAATCGATGGCATTAAGTGTTCGTCAAAATTGTCGATAATATTTGTGTCAAATTCAGTCCTATTTGTGTCATTCAAATTGTCTTTTTGTTGGCCAAACCCATCGCTTCTTAACATATTTAGCATAATTTGTGCGGCATTTCGTTTGGCCAGTTGTTTGGATGAAGCGCTGCCATTGAATGTCAACTGTTTGTTCACAACCGTACAACTCATGTGAAACATTTTTTTATGTTCGGGTCCATCGATACCAATGTCTTTATATATAGGTGTCGGCCAATGACTTTTAACACACAGTTCATGAAGTATTGTCAATGGATTTTCATCATCGAGTGTTTCATTTTGATTGTCAGATCTGTTGGTTTTTACCTGATTTTCATTGATTGTCAATTTGTGTGCATATTCTTCAATGGATTTCAATACTTGATCCTTATTCTCGATTTCATACAAATTGTTTTTAATAATTTTCTCAATCAATTGCATAGCAGCTGAATGTTTGGCACTTTTCTTGTTTCTTCCGCGTCCTATGGCCTCAGTTATACCCATTTGAACTCTGGTTGTGAATACCGGTGCGTGAACTACCCCTTCAACCTTTTCATCTTCAGTATACTCAGCCCTAACATTGTTTGCAATACTTATATCGGCTAAAATAGATGCCGGAGTTTTCATCATTATTTAGCAAATTTAATTAATAACTTTTATAAATATGTAATAATTATTATTATATTTAGAAAAAAACATTTAATGCTAAAACTGTTTATACAAATACAGTATTATGTAATCATTTACTTATCATTAAATTATTTACAACTTACAGTATATTACATTATATGAAATATTGTAAAGTATTAATACAAATAGTGTTTAGTATGAATCATGTTATGTTAATTCATGCGCACATTTGACTGTATTTTTTTATAATACATTATTTTTGAAAATAACTAATTATTTACAATAATTTACAATTTATATGACATTGATAATTATTATTGGATTTATTTCACTTATAACTTATATTTTTAAGAGATAAAAATATTAATATAAATAATAAGGTAATCATATAATATTAAAAGTTTTTGTCACATAATTGCAAATTTTATACAGTTTTTAAAATAATTGAAATAATATATTAAATTATATCTATGTTATCTATGAATGTGTTTAATTTATGGTAAACTAAATTACAAATTAAAATCTATTAATAATTTCTTTAAATTTTTTATTAAATTAAATTTAATATTTTTAAAAAATATCAAATCAAATAAGGTAAACATATTGATTATAAAATTATTAAAACATAATCATTATTAAAAAAAACTTCAGTCAAAGTAAAATACAATTGTTTTTACTAAATGTTAATAAATATTACTGATAATAATTTCAAATATAACACAATCTAATACAACAAAATTTTATAATTGATATCACATACATGTAGTATCACACATCATAGTAACTTATGTATAATAATATATTTAAAAATGTTTTCGCAAATATTTTATTAAATAAAAATCTAATTTTAATTCTATATTATATAAAATAATGATTTTTATGTTTTTACAATTTATTACTTGAAAATTAGTAAAGAACTTGTCATGAAATGAAACTTATGTTTATAGATATTAATGAAACTTTGTTTTGAAGTGTTGTTATCTGATAACAGAAAAATGATATATAAATATAATATTAAGATTATAAATATAAATTTAACTCTTCATAAATGTAATAATAATTATATTAAAAACAATGATTTATAAATTATTTAAATCTTTAAATTATTGGATAAAAATCAGACTGAATATCAATGTATCGATTGATTGTTTATTATTTGCATTTATTATCAATTTTTATGATTTTAATCTCATTTTTCATTTTAAAGTTTTTTTTCTGAAATTTTTTGGTCACTTTTGTCGTCATTTATTATTTGTGACTTTTTTCTTTCAGTTATCTCTAAAATTATTAATTTAAAATAAATTTCAAAATAATAAATATTTTAATAATTTACAAAATGTTATACATATTTGACTTATAACAGTCATTTAATAAATCACTCATTTAATCACACACACACACACACACACATATATATATATATACATTTGTAATTATAGATATATTTATATATAAAAGTGAAAAATGTAATAAAATATAATAATTCAATTTTATTCATTAGTTAAAATAATATTTAATTATTAAAAAAATATATAATTAATTACATAATAACTAAGTAGATGATATCATTGTAAATATTTTATAAAATTATGGTTTAAAAATTTATTAATAATATTTTTTGTATCAAATTATCATTTACTATAGAGTATAATATTACATATAAAGTAATTTACAGCAAAATGTCAAAACAAACAAACTATTTGATTAATTTGTTAATTACGTTACTATCACTCATCGGATGCGTTGTAATGATGAGTCTACTGCGGTCTAGACGTTTGAGGGATGACCCGAACTGGCCATACTGTGACCAAACATCATCAGTTAGTTTCTATTAATACAAATTAATAACATTTACTTGTTTTTTGTAAATTTGTAAATATTAATATTATATAACGTTTTGTTTTAAAGTTAGGGGATTATTGCATATGTAGTCATGGTCTGATTGCATGTAATTAATTAACTGGAAATTATTACAATATTATAAAAATCATAAGAAAAATATTATGTTTTTCATAAGATATAGGAAATCAAAATAAAGTATTATTGTTATCCATTAAAAAAATAATATATTATCACATCAATTAACTATTTCTATTATGACAAATACTATATTTATTAATTGTTTTTATATTTTATTTATATTTTATTAATATGTACTTTTATATAAATAAAATAAAACAAATTTAAGTTAACATGGTGGAGCACTATGAAAAACATTGGCATAATTGACAATACAAAACATAATGACCGCTCCTATAAATGAACCCAATTGTGTGGATATACCGCAATAATATAACAGTTTATGTGATGTTTTAGTCGCTCTAAATATAGCGGCAATACATGTCTTGGAGAAGGAGAAGCTGGCAGTGGTTGCGATGGACACTATCACTATAAATACTTTACCAACTGTTGTATTATAACCGGGAGGTGTAGGACTCATACGGGCAGCGATTAATATAAATATGGCACATGCCGTTCCAATGGACACACATACAGGCATCACCAATTTTTGCATACGTGTGCTCAACAAAAATACAATACAACATGATATGGGATTAGCTATAGACGATAATTGTACGGCTAAATGGTAAGGTTGATAACCATATGGAGCTTTTGCATAACTTTCAATACCTAATAATGTTTTTAAAAACAATGTTAAATAATACCAAAATTAAGATGAAATAAATTATTTAAAAATATGATATAATTACTTGTAAGCACTCCATTGGATACGGCATTGATGTAGGCCTGAACTAACAGTAAGTATATAAACATATTTCTGGATATTATCTCATGACTATCTGAACTCTTTTCAATTGAAGAATCAATTATTTGTTGATTTGATGCAATAGTTGTGTTTTGATTTGTTTCTGTTTCGGGATAATTATCTAACCGTTCCTTTTTGCATATATTTAAGTGATGGAGCAAAATGAATGCCAACCAACACAACAACACCAAAATAAAAAGACACAAATAAAACATATTAACAGAAAATCGAGGATCGGCTGACACTGGGATCATCTTATAGGTATCGTTTCCGGTGCTTATGTTCTTACAGGTGGGTTCTCCTCCCACACCTCAAAATATAAGTTCACAATAAATATAATAATTAATATCTATGACTAAATACATGTATTACATACCTTGAATCAATGCTACAGCACTGGGAACCACTCCACTGAGGCCTTCACCAAATATTAACGATACCAAATATTTAGATTTAAAGTGTGACATATATGGGAAATATAGCAATGATGTTGTGGTGTCCATAATGGCTAACAGTGTAGTCAACGCAAGGAATGCCACCGAATGTTTGGTGCCATTAATGACAGCTAAATGATCCCAAAAGAAGACCGATAGCAGACAGGCTAACGAACCGATCAATAGTATTATATGAATGGACGGCACTTCCACTCTCTGTTTAATTTGATTTAATCATTAATTATTTAATTGAAATTATTTATTATTATTATACTTATTATATTAGTTTATATTTTAGTAACTATTATACTTTAACCATATTCTATAAAATCTATACTTAATTATTTAAATAACTTTTAGATTTATAACTAATTGTTTTTAATAATATTTCTATTAATTAATTTATTCAATAACAAAAAATATTATTTTATATTATTATAAATTATGTTTGGCATACTTTGGTTGAAAATTTAGATTTAAAAAATGAGTATATGATTGGTCCGACATTAGCCACTTGTATGAGTACTACAATATATGATAATAAATTGAAACTTTCCGGCAATTGTTGGACTAAAAGTGGTGTTTGTGTCCAAATGCCGTTCACTGCAATCCAAGAACTGATGCCAAACACTGCGGACAATATGTCGACTAAAATAATGCGATCACTCAATAAAAATGACATTTTTTTGAATATTAATATTTTAATCTTAAGTTTACAAAACACAAAAATAACTAAAAAATATTATTTTTTAAATATAAAAAAATCAATAAATAAATGGTATTTTATAGCATAGTTTATCTTAAATTTAATAAATAATTTTATTTGATATTAAATGTTTTATAAATTATTATCATTAAACTTAAGTAAAAATTTTTAAGTTCATTAAAAATAACATATCTAAAAAGTTTCAGTTAATTACATTTATTATAACAAATATTATGTTATCAAATTATTATTAAAAATGTATTTTTATTTTTGATTGTGATTTTATAAAAACAATAATATCTATCTAATAATCACTAATAAATATTAAATCTATACTAAATTAATATTGCAATAAATATACAAAAATAACAAAAATCTATATATTAATATATTTATTGTATTTTTAATATCAATTTTAAATGTCAATATTTACCTGACTACAGGTGCTAATTATCTATTGTTTTATAAATAATACAATTATAGAAACTAAAATATGAATACAATTATATATTATTAATGAATTTTTTAGATATCATTATATCATTAATATTATAAAATATAATGTTGTATTTGTTATTTAAAAACTTTTATTGTGTTAAATAATTGATAAAACTGGAATTGTGTAACAAATATTAAATTTTATTTATTTCTTATGAAATAAAATCATTTTTTAATTTAATCAAAATATATAAAATAATATAATATATTTTGAAATAAAAATTAAATTAAAATAATTAAAAGTCATTTAATGAGTCACTTAAAACATAAATTATTATATCAAATATTCTAAAAATTATATAAATATCATTGCATATAATCTTTTAATATTATTATATATAAGTAGTGTTGGTAGTGTTGGCAAAAAAGATAAATTTATAAAATAATAGAGAAATTTCTAGAAAGTTTCTAAAAGAAATTTCTATTTATGGGATCCCCATGGTTAATTTTGTTTTCTCGATATTTGTTATCTTTAACATTATTTTTATAAGTAATATTTAAATATTAGTATTAGTATTTTAATTATTAATTAAAGTAAAAAATTTATTTATTTAATTATATTAAACTATGATATAATAAAATGGTGAATAAAATTTTACAAAACTGATTATTATTAAATAATTATAATTATTTATATAAGTATCCCATTTGTATAATATAGTATTATACAGTAATCTACATTATTTAGTATAATATTATATGTATAGTAGTGTCTCATTAATATATTTATAGTTTTACAATATCTATAGATATGGGGATCCCATAGTATAACAAAAAAAGTTAAATTTCTATAGAAATTTATTCCTGAGAAACTTTCTAGAAACTTTCTATTTGCCCATCTCTATATATAAGACTAAAATTTTTTAAAATACTGTATTTTATTTAATATTTATTCTTACATATATAGAGACAGAAAGAGAGACAAAATACACAATACATATACTGTATACAGAAAACAGCAAATTTGAAAAAAGTAATCAATTAATTGGATTCGTACAGCAATTGTAATACAACTATAATACTGTATAAATCAATTGATAGCACAAACAATGCTATAAAATAATTAATAATATAAAATAAAAATAATAGGCGTCACCACATGAAAATAGATGTCCAGGGCATGGCAGGCATTTTCCAAAATTGGCATATATTGTTTATGTCTGCCACTATAAAAACCCTGATAATGATTCAAATACAATACAATTATACCAACCCTTTACACTAATCAGACGTATTGAATATCTTAATAATTTAGTCCAATCTTAAGTGTGGACTTAGTTTTTATAACAAACCCTGAGATTGACATAAAAGTAACAAAATTGTTATTAATTGGTTCATCCGATTACTTATACATCAGGTTTAGTGGAGTAGTACTGAAAAAATATAAAAATGTATTAAAAATTTCTAAAGGGGTGTACTTTTTTAAAAACCATTTGTTAGACAATGCAATAAACAATAGAATATTTTAATAACAATAATACATAATTAATTGTCCTGGTCAAATCTAATTAATCTAATTAAAAATTTAATTTACGTTTATTACATGTTTGTGCCAAAGATATAAAATATGTTTTCATCATTTTATAATACATTTTCTATGTTTTATATATATACTATATATATATTGCATCACTTATTTAACATTAATCAATGGGACAACTGATAAATAAATTAAGTCAAATACAACTCTCACTGTTCACCAAACAGTGTGCGGATAAAATGGATTTATTATTTTCAATAAACTGTTTCACCTGTTTTATGTAGATTAATGTGACAATTATTGATCAATCAATTAAAACTTATTGATGTATTGATGACAGCTTCTGTCACTTTCATGTCCAGCGTAGGCCTAACAAAATAAAGTATATGTCCACCAATTTATATCATTAACAACATTTAAGATTAGGTCAATTTTAATAATCAATTTTACATAAAAATTAATAACAAATTTATTAACAAATAATATGTTTACATAAATTATTATTAATTCTAACATTTTACTAATTGGTTTGTAATTGATTTTTTATATTTATCCTCATCTGTAAAATTAGTTTAAAGAAGTATATTAATGAAATTTATTACTTAATTATCTTAATTTGTATAATATATATTTTTAATAAACTATTTTATATAACATTTTTAAAATCTATAATAAATAAATTTATTTATTTTTTTGTAAAATTGTCAAAACTAAGTAGAACATATTATATATTTAATTTAATAATATTTATTATTGTATAAAATTGATAATATTGAATTTACAGTTTACTATAATAATTAATTGTTTTAGTATTGTATTCGTAAAATTAGTTCACAAAATGTTTATTTAATAAAAATATAAATACAGTACTTATTACTAAGTATTCAATAGTTAATTTTTATGCAATATGATGTATTTATATTTTAAAAACAAATATTTATATGTTATTTTAGCGTCAATGATTGATAAATATTTGTTGATCATATGTTTTACAAGTTATTGATTTTTAAGTAACCATTTCCTAAACATTTATTCTCTATAATTAAACAATAATTAAGATAAAGATAACATTTGTGTCAGAACTAACTGTACATTGAATATAATGTTGTAATTAATATAAATTTTTAATGCACTAATTATACACTTATAAGATATATAATTGCTATTATAAAACAATTTAATATAAACTATCTTATAAAAATAATTTAAACTTGCTAAATAAACAAAAATGAAATATTAAAATATATTGTTTTATAATATAATTTTTTTATTTGATAACTTTGCAATTGTAGTTGTGTTGTAAAATGTGTACTTATAATTCAGGATTAAGTAAGGGGGTAGGAGGTAAGGCCAAAATACCCCCTAAGATCGAGATTTTGGGATTTTACCCCCCAGACTTTTGGAAAAATTGTCGCTTAAAAACGAGGAGAAATGATCCCACTCTAAAATTTATAATTTTAGTTAATACTATTTTAGTAAGAGTTTTTATGTTTTTAAAATTTATATGAATCTAATTATTGATTAAAAATAAGTAAAATAATTAAAATAACGTTAAAACTCATCAAAAAATAACATTATTTTAATTAAACTATTAAACTAAAAAATTAAAAATTACCTATTTGTTGAAAAAGTAATCATATTACAATTAAAATAGAAGTTTAAGATAGTTTAAGAAGTTAATAAAACAATAAATAGTTATATTATGTTTTTTATTAATAATTTTTAATAAAAAATTTAAAAATATTTTCAATTTTATACTTAATATAACTAAAACTTTAACAAAAATTGAGTTAAATAATTAGTATTCAGTCAGTATTTGTATAAAAATAACATTTAAAAAAATAATATATAACTATAAATTATAAACAATTATAAGTATTATTTAAAAAATTAATTATGCTAAAAGTTAAAAATTATTAAAATACAAAAAATAACTCATTGTGTATCATTAATGCTTTTATCAACTATTTTTAAATCTTAAATACATTTTTATTTTATTTTTTGATTAAATTTCAGTTTTTATTAATTTTTATTTTTTATATATTTAGGAAAATTTACCTATTTTCCTGGGAATTTATACGGGTACTTATGGGAACTTTATTTAATTTACATGGGAATATTCGTGAATTTAAGGAATTTTCTCTTGACCCCCCTTGATTTTGGATTTTTGAAAAAATCGCCGTTTAAAAATGCAATAAAGTCTATACCCCCTATACCCCCAAGATTTTTCGAGAATTTTGTAAATTTCACTCCAGTCTACCCCCCTAAAATCCAAAACCTTGCTTAACCCTGTTATACTTATAACTTAAAATATTAGGGTGACATAAAGTATATAAGTAAATACTCTGTTATATTTATATAAATAATTAATATTTTTATCAAGTATAACATTTTATAATTATAAATAATATTTTCCACTTTCAATATAATTAATTTTTATTAATATTTTATAATATATCTATATTTTTTCAGGTTCTAGTAATTATTTTTTTGTATTATATTAGTTTATTAGTCTGCTTACAATAATTACTGTACATTAATTAAAATCAAAATTCTGATATAAACATCGGATCATAAAAATAGCTGTAAATAAAGTAATAATTAATGATTTATTATTAGTAAATATACAGTAAGAAAAAATTTAGTATTAAAACTATGTATATAAGTATATAAAATATGTAATTTTAATTATGTAAATCAATAACACTTTAAAATATGTTTGATTAAATACATGATGTACAATATATATAAATTGCTGATTTACAGATACGAAAATAGTATACAGTGTATAACAAATAGAAACTAAATATTAATTAAACTAATATTAGTTATGTAAAGGTTTTTTAAAAATGTATTTATGTATAAATATTGTATTAATTGCTAATTGAATTATATGTATTTAACTATATCTTAATTATATATATAGAAGTATATACTGTATAAATGATGAACAGTTTTTTAATAAACATAATATAAATAATTTTCTTTTACAACACATTTTCTCGTTAAAGATTATGTTGAAATTGATGAGCATTTCTCTCATCTATCTATAGTTTTATTTGTATGTTTTAATGATAATTGAACTCATAATGCACTTAACTAAATTATATGGGCATTGCTTATCAAATAGGAGGGTGCAAACCGGCGTTCCCTATAAATTAAGTCAAATTATTAATATTATTGACGACTTTTTGTTAGACAACACTATTGACTATAAGTTATTATAAGTCTATTTACACATTATTTAAAATCAAATCAAATCAAATATCTATACAGTGTGCGAATAGTATATACATTATATATTGATGTATTTTTGATAAAAACATTTTATTTCAATAAATACGAGTTTAAGCAAATTGACATATAATATAAGCTTTAATTTATATTATTAATTTAATTTTGATCATAAACTGTGAAGTTATAAGTAATTTAAAAGGTATGGATGAGGACCCAAAAATAAGGGGCAAATGTCAATGGGACAGGACCAATTTTATACAAAAAATATTTTTTACGTAAGTAATACTATATTTTTAATATTTTATAATAAAAATAATATAATATGTAATACATGTAATATTATATTTAAAATTTTTTATTATTTAATATTAAGCAATTTTTTTGTCATTATTAAATAAATCTTGCATTTTTTATTTTTCTAAATAATAGTTTTATAACTTATATATATATATATATATATGTGTGTTATTAATTCATGAGATTATATATTTATTATTAATATTCAATTAATAAAAATAACTAATTAATAATTAATCCAAACTAATTTTTAAAATATGTAAAATATGTAAAATATTTATAAACTTTGTACTTAAAAATTTATAAACAGTGTTTCCAAATGAATTATATACTGTATTGCAATAATATTGACTTAATTACAGTCAGTAAATAATGTTAATTAAGATTAAGATTAATGTAAAATATGTTTATTCAATGCAAATAAATATTAATATAAACAGAGAAAAAATTCCATTTCATATAATTTTTACAAATGAGTGCACAAAAAAATTAAAATAATATTAATATTATAATTTAATTAAAATTAATTTAGTTATTCATAATTGTTAGTAATTTTCAATTGACAAATATACAGTAATCAATAAAAATTTGTTTATCTGCAGGAAATCTTATAATAATAATAAACAAACTTAAATAAACAGATTTCCATTGAATAAAGCAATTTTAATAAAAAAAACATAAAACTTTAAAAATATTTTTTAAAATAATATTTATTTTATATTTATGAACTTTTAATTATGTTTATGTTATAATTAAAATTATAAAATTAAGTTCAATAATCTTATTGTTTAACTTGTTAAAATTATAATTAATTATTTAAAAAATATAATAGATGGGTATTTCCAGTATTTTGGAGGGGAATGCGAAAAAATGGTTTGGACCTGGATGATTTATATCGATGCTCCAAATATGATGAATCTCAGCTAATTGCACAAAAATTAGAAAGGTGATTTTTTAGAACTAATATATGAGTTAAGTTAACAAATCTAATTTTATTAATTCAATTATATTAGAAATTGGAAATTAGAACAAAAAAATAAATCACCGAAATTTTGGAAGGCATTGTTTTGGACATATGCTAAATATTACATAATGCCCATGATCATTTTTATTTTTGAGGTTTTTGATTAATTATTTTACTAAATATTTAAAATAAATAAAAACTCTAATCATTAACTTTATTATAATCCTTAATAATGATGTATGAATGTTAGTATAGTTTATACTAATACTACAGTTTAAAAAAATGTGTTATTTTAAGATTCATTTAAATAAGGTTATGATAATTAAATTCCAAGAGTTTAATTACAGGTATTGATTTATTGTCATTAATATAGTATAGCGTATAAAAATTATTATAATAGAAATATTGATAATTTCTCTAAATTAATTAATAAGTTATTAAAAAAAATAGAAACTCTTAATTTTATAAATATAGGTTTTAATACGGTATTGCATTCAAATAACAATTACCGTTATTAAGAAAATTAGCAAATCTCTAATTGATATTTTCTTATGTAATAATAAATTTTAATTTTTTTATTAAAAAAATATTTATTATATATAAATTATAACAAATATTAATAAAAAATAGGAGTGTGTCATACGTATTGGTCAACCAATCCTATTGGGATATGTAATCGACTACTTTAGCAAAGAGGGAGATATATCCTATTCAAATGCCTGTTTGTCAGCCGGCGGAGTATGTCTTTGTTCGGCACTATTCATATCACTACATCACCCGACACTCGTGTTAGTCATGCGAATGGGTATGAGATTGAGGGCATCGTGTTGTACACTAATGTATAAAAAAGTATTGATATTATCATGATTTAAAAATAATTAACAAAACTAATAATATATAAACTTATTTATGATATCTATTAATACAAATTTATTAGTCTCTAAAACTAAACCGGGCGTCAATGGGTAGAACAACTGTCGGACAAATTGTTAATTTAATGTCAAACGATGTCAACCGTTTCGATGAGGTTTGAAATTTAATTACAAATAATATATTAATATATTTTAAATATTAATCTTTTTTATTTAGTTTTCAATATTTGTCAGCTATTTTTTTATAGCACCCATACAAACAGTAATCACTGTTTATATAATGTGGACACATTTGAATTGGACCTGCTTTGTAGGGGTGGCCTTACTATTACTTTTTATACCCTTCCAAGGATATATGGGAAAGTTGTTTTCAAGAGTTAGGTAACTTAGATATTGAAATAAAGTTTATAATAATAAGTGATTATCGATATTATAAATACCGTAATAATTTTTTATGCAGATTAATGACGGCTCAGTTAACCGACAACCGGTTACGTCTAATGAATGAAATAATAAGTGGTATGCGTGTCATCAAAATGTATTCGTGGGAACAATCGTTTGCCGATTTGGTGGCAAATGCCAGAAAGTAATTCATTGTGAATAATATAATATATTTATATAATAAATCTAAATATTATAACATTCAATAGATCTGAAGTATCGCGTATCCGAAGAGCATGTTTTTTAAAAGCCATTAATTTGTCGGTATTTTTTGTGGCCTCACGTATCATATTATTTGCATGTTTTATAACATATGTATTGACGGGTAATATCCTAACCGCCAAAGCCGTGTTCGTGACAATGGCTCTCTTCAATACATTGAGAATTACTATGACGTGGCTCTTCCCACAGGCTATAGCACTGGGAGCTGAACTACTTGTCTCATGCGGACGAATACAGGTATTATAAGATAATCCCATTATTATATTTTTTATTTATATCAGATTATCCAGTGATTTGTGTCTGAAGTGATAATATTAATATTATAAATAAATTAAAGAATTGTTTTATATTAACAAATCATTTTAATTTAAGACATTTTTAGAGTTAGAAGAAATGGAAATAAAACGAAATCAATTAACAAATATTTCAAAAGACATTAAAACAAATACTGAATCAAATTATGTGTCCATTAATAATATAACCGCGAAATGGAATGAAGTAAAAGATTTCTTATCAATTGTTTTAATCATTTATTAAAATATAAAATCATTTAATTTATAGGAGAGTTTGCACTCAACACTCAATGATATCTCAGTCCATCTGAGACCAGGAGATCTATTGGCAGTCATTGGACCGGTTGGGTCAGGAAAAGTAAATTATATATATATCCATAAATTAATATTAATTAGTGAATTGTTATTATAAATCATTATAATTTCTTAACATTAAAAAGAGTTCATTTTTAATGTCAATATTGGGCGAACTACCGGTTCAATCGGGAACTATACAATGTGTTGGATCCATAAGCTATGCATCACAAGAGCCCTGGAATTTCAATAATAGTGTCAGAAATAACATTCTGTTTGGCAATGAATACAATGAAAGCCGATATAAACGAGTCGTTAATGTCTGTGCTTTGGATCGCGATTTCACTATATTTCCGTTCGGAGACCGAACTCTTGTTGGAGAAAAAGGTGTCTCACTATCGGGCGGTCAAAAGGCTAGGATTACATTAGCCAGGTTTGAGTCATTCATTTAATTTATCGGTAATCCCTGTTTGTAATTATTATTATTATGTTATTTCATTGCAGAGCTCTCTACCGAAACTCAGATATCGTTTTAATGGACGACCCGTTAAGTGCTGTCGACTCGTCAGTTGCCGAACACATCTTCGATAAGTATGTCTACTATTACTTTGATATTATTACTGTATTAATATGTTTTGTATTAAATTCATAGATGTATTGTGGATCACCTGTCGGACAAAATACGAATTCTGGTCACACATCAGATTCAGTTCCTAAGGAAAGCCACACAAATACTTGTGCTTAATGAAGGCAAATGTCTAGCTATGGGAACATTTGATGAATTACAGGCACAGGGAGTTGACTTTATGACACTATTGAAGGAACAGGAAAAAGAAATTGCAGAGAAAAAGGTTGAAATTGAAAGACAGGAACGGGAACTTATGAGGTCGTTCTCAAAGAGCAGTTATGACAGTCAACAAATCAAAAACGAAACTTTTACTGAATCATTGAAAGCCAGAGGAAGATCAATATCAAGAAGTACTTCTGTGGTTCAAACGGAAAATTTTGAAATATCTAACGTTTGTGTTATTCATATTTTATATAATATAAGATATTTATATTGATTTTAATGTTTAGATTGAAGTTTTTGAAGATGACTATTTAAATGATCCAAAAATTCAAGATGAGAACCGTGAAGTTGGATCTATTGACAGTGGAGTCTATTGGTATTACGTTAGGGCCGGTGCCGGACCCATACTTTTAACAATAACAATAAGTTCAACACTGATATCTCAGACTATATTTCACGGATCAGACTTATGGCTCACTGAATGGTGAGTAATATAATGAAAATTATAATATAAATATGAAAATAACTTATTATATAATTAGGACAAACAATAATCAAAACGGCATTGAAAGAGACCAAAACATGGATGTAATAATATATTCTGCACTAATTGCTGGTCTATTTGTGACGGCACTACTGAGGTCTACCACTTGGTTTATGATGTGTATGCGGGCGTCCGTTAATCTACACAACAGTATATTTTACCGATTACTTCGGGCACCAATTGTTGTATTTGATAACAATCCCGTAGGTATGTATCGAAAACATTATTACCGGTAATTTAAATTAATTACATTATGTGTATAACCCTTAATTAATTTTAATTTATAGGCCGAATACTCAATCGATTTACTAAAGATATGGGTATTGTTGATGAAATGCTGCCGTCGACTGCATTTGATTTAAATCTGGTATATATTTATCAAGAAAAACATAAATCATTGTAATTAATAAATACCAAACAATAATCACATAACTATATTACAGACAATGACTCAAGCAGTTGGTATAATAATAGTGGTGGCACTCGTCAACCCATACCTAATAATACCGGCAATTTTCTTGATAATACTAAGCATAATAGTTAGAGGTATATACATAAAGTCAGCCAGGGACATTAAACGATTTGAAGGGTTAAGTAAGTTATTCATAATAAATTAGTAATCAAATGTAATTTTATTTCTACTAATTAAACATTTATATAAATAGCGCGAAGTCCTGTCTATTCACACGTGAGTACTACACTTAACGGGTTGGCCAGTGTTAGGGCTTACGGAGCTCAGGAAGTGTTTGAGAGGCAATACTATGTGTACCAGAATGACCACAACGCCACGTGGTTCATGTTTATATGTGCTTCACGTACTTTAGGGCTAATGATGGACTGGTTTTGTGTTGGCTATATTGTAATCATAACTGTGGTTATAATGGTAGTACCAACTGGTCTACAGGGAGGCGATGCTGGTTTGGCTCTATCATCAGGTAATAACTTATTATTAATGTAAAGTATGCACTAATTGTAACGTTTGTTTGATAACAGCATTAATGTTGACGGGAATGACTCAATGGGGTGTCAGACAGTCAGCCGAATTGGAAAGTCAGATGACATCAGTCGAGCGTATCATTGAATATAGTAAACTACCTCAAGAGGCACCTCTTGAAGCAGACAATAAAGACAAACCTAGAAAGGAATGGCCAGAAAAAGGAGTAATCGAAATGAAAAATATGTCTCTTTTCTATGAGAGCTCTAACAAACCGGTTCTCAAGAACTTGTGTTGTTATATCAAAAGTGCTGAGAAAATAGGTATCGTTGGTCGTACCGGTGCCGGCAAGAGCTCAATTATATCGGCATTGTTTCGTATGGTTGAACCAAAAGGACAAATACTTATTGATGGTATTGACACCAAATCTATTGGTTTACATGATTTGAGAAAAAAGATATCAATCATACCTCAAGACCCGGTAGTCTTCACGGGTACAGTTCGTCGTAATCTCGATCCGTTTGGCGAATACAGTGACGAACAGATATGGAAGGCCTTGGATGAGACGCAGCTTAAACATACTGTCCAAGAGTTAAGAGGAGAGTTAGACGCAGAGTTGTCTGAAGGCGGATCCAACTTCAGTGTAGGTCAGCGCCAATTAGTATGTCTGGCGCGGGCTATCTTACGGTCCAATCGTGTACTAGTCTTAGATGAGGCCACAGCTAATGTCGATCACCAAACAGATTCACTCATCCAAACCACTATCAGAAATAAGTTCTCCGATTGTACTGTACTTACAATAGCCCACAGACTTAACACTATCATTGACTCTCATAGAGTACTCGTAAGTTGTTTAATGTGTTTCTAATATTTTAGAGTTTTTCATACAATTTTTATTTTCATTCATTTATACAATTTATTTAAAATACTATATTTTATAATTACTAATTTATTTATTTATTAAAATTATCATATTTTATATTTAGGTGTTAGACGCGGGAGAGATCATTGAATTTGATACACCATTTGCTTTATTACAACGAAAGGGTGTATTTTATGATATGTGTCGTAAAACAGGAAAAAATATGTTCAATCATTTGATGAAAATGGCTAAAGAAACACATATTTCAAGATTTGAAACAAATGAAGAGTCAAATGAAGAAGACAAAAGTGATACGACATCCAGTAGTAGTAGTAGTTCTTCGAGTAGTAGTTCCCATCACAAGTCAAGCACTGTTATCAACCAATATCCGGATACACTTTAGTTTTATCTGTTTTTATTTAATTTTGTATCTATTTTTTAATTATCATTATGTCATTATGTTATTTAGTAATTTAATCAATAATTAAAGAACAATAAAAATGTAATTATAATTTAGTTTAATTTTTTTTATTATAAAGAAATTTACTATAATTTGTTATAAATTAATAACGTTAATACAATTATAATTAACAATAACAATATTGTATAAATAATTATTAAAATGTTTTATTAAAACAATTTATGTTAAATAAAATTTACAAAATTATTTGTTAGAATTTTTCTTGAAAAGTTCCGTATTTTTGTGGATCATTATTATTGCCGTGAGATGTGAACTGATGGTCGGATTGATATTCAACTACTTGTCCTTCTTCTTGTTCTTCATTTGTATCAAATTTATGAAAATGTATTTCTTTAGCCATTTTCATCAAATGATTAAACATATCTTTTCCTGTTTTACGACACATATCATAAAACTTTCCCTTTCTTTGTAATAAAGCTAATGGAGTGTCAAATTCAATGATCTCTCCCGCGTCTAACACCTGAATATAAAATATGATAATTTGATTAATTAAATAAATTAGTATTTGTTATCAATTATATAAAATATCAAAAAATGTTTATTTTAATCTAATTATGTTTATATCGATAATAATATTTTTTATATAAATACTTTATATTATTTATGAATAACATTAAACTGAATTGTATTAAAAACTGCAAAATATTAGAAACACATTAAACAACTTACAAGTACTCTATGAGAGTCAATGATAGTGTTAAGTCTGTGGGCTATTGTAAGTACAGTACAATCGGAGAACTTATTTCTGATAGTGGTTTGGATGAGTGAATCTGTTTGGTGATCGACATTAGCTGTGGCCTCATCTAAGACTAGTACACGATTGGACCGTAAGATAGCCCGCGCCAGACATACTAATTGGCGCTGACCTACACTGAAGTTGGATCCGCCTTCAGACAACTCTGCGTCTAACTCTCCTCTCAACTCTTGTACGGCATGTTTGAGTTGCACCTCATCCAAGGCTTTCCATATCTGTTCGTCACTGTATTCGCCAAACGGATCGAGATTACGACGAACTGTACCCGTGAAGACTACCGGGTCTTGAGGTATGATTGATATCTTTTTTCTCAAATCATGTAATCCAATAGATTTGGTGTCAATACCATCAATAAGTATTTGTCCTTTTGGTTCAACCATACGAAACAATGCCGATATAATTGAGCTCTTGCCGGCACCGGTACGACCAACGATACCTATTTTCTCAGCACTTTTGATAGAACAACACAAGTTCTTAAGAACCGGTTTGTTAGAGCTCTCATAAAACAGATACATATTCTTGAATTGAATGCGTCCACAATCAGGCCATTCAGGTCGTGGTTTGTGTTGTTTATTTGCCTCCAGAGGTGCCTCTTGAGGTAGTCTACTATACTCAACGATACGTTCAACTGATGTCATCTGACTTTCCATTTCTGCCGACTGTCTGACCCCCCAAGCAGTCATTCCCGTTAACATTAATGCTATTTATTTATATATATATTACTTATTAGTTTATTATATTAAAACAATTACCGCTAGTGTTTGTTTAGTACTGTACCTGAAGATAATGCCAGTCCAGCAGTTCCTCCAGCAATACCTATAATTTCATTATACAATGTTTTAAGAAATTGATTTATTAGATTTTAATATTATATTTATATAATTAATGTAATATAATATAATTCAAACCATTAGGAGATAGCATGAGTACAACTGCAATGGCGATAATATATAAGACACAAAACCAGTCCATAATCCAACCGAGTCCACGGGATGCGGCCACAAACAGGAACCAGGTAGCACTGTGATCATTCTGGTAGATATAGTATTGTTTTTCAAAAACATCCTGTGCTCCGTAGGCCCGAACACTGGCCAGTCCTGTCAATGTTGTGCTCACATGTGTAAACACTGGGCTGCGGGCTATAAAAAAGTAGTAATGTTTTTATTGTTAACTAACCTTAACTTAACAATAAATAGCCATAAGTTTAATAAATAATTAAAACTAACTTGCTCCTTCAAATCGTTTAATATCCCTTGCTGATTTTATATAAATACCTCTCATTATAACAATTAATATAAACATAACTATTGCTGGTATTATCAAATATGGATTGACTATACCGACCACTATTGCAATGCCTACTCCTTGAGCTAAACACTAAATTAAATAAAATGTTAAAAAATAAATAGTTATCTTATAATTTGCAAACCATAACAGTTATATTTCATACAATACATACCACATTCAAGTCAAATGAAGTCGAGGGCAACATTTCATCAATTACTCCCAAATCTTTAGTAAACCGGTTTAATATTCGGCCTAAATGTAGAATAATATACCTTAAAAAAATTATATTTATAATAAATAATGATATAATTGTTTACCGACTGGATTGTTGTCAAATATAGAAATTGGTGCGCGAAGTAAACGATAAAATATAGTATTATGCAAATTAATTGAGGCCCGCATACAAACGGTAAACCATGAAATGGCTCGCATTAGGGCTGTTAGAAACAGTAGTCCAATGAGTCCCGAATAGATATAGGCGTCAATGTTTTGTTCACTTGTGCTCACAATATGTCCTGACATTTGATTTTTATTTGTCCTATAAATCACATAAAATTTTTATGTACTATTTTAGGAATATTTTTTATATAAATTTGATACTTTAGACTAATTTGAGTTTATATACGTACCACTCAGTTAACCATATATCTGATCCATGAAATATTGTCTGAGATATCAAAGTAGAAAGTATAGTAAAAATAGCAAAGAGTGGTCCGGTGCCCGCTTTGATGTACTCCCAGTATACTCTTCCCTCAATTGATCCAACTTGTCTTTCCTCATCTTTTATTTTAGGATCATCTCTATTGTTATCATTAATGTTATTAACCTATTTTGGCGTAATTTTAAATTAAGTTAATATTTTATAATTATAAATAAAACTAATTTTACCAATATATTAGACAAATCAATGCTACCACCAGTAATTGAAACACTTCTGGAAAGGGATCTAACCCTTTCATCAAAACCTGATTGAGTTAACGATTGTATTAATTCCCGTTCCCGTTCCTGTTTCTCGATTTCAGCTTTTTTATCAGCGTTTTCTTTTTCCTGTTCCTTCAATAGTGTCATAAAGTCAACTCCCTGTGCCTGTAATTCATCGAATGTTCCCATAGCTAGACATTTTCCCTCATTTAGTACAAGTATTTGTGTGGCTTTCCTTATGAACTGAATCTGATGTGTGACCAGAATTCGTATTTTGTCCGACAGGTGATCCACAATACATCTATGAATTTAATACAAAACATATTAATACAGTAATAATATCAAAGTAATAGTAGACATACTTATCGAAGATGTGTTCGGCAACTGACGAGTCGACAGCACTTAACGGGTCGTCCATTAAAACGATATCTGAGTTTCGGTAGAGAGCTCTGCAATGAAATACCATAATAATAATAATAATAATAATTACAAACAGGGATTACCGATAAATTAAATGAATGACTCAAACCTGGCTAATGTAATCCTAGCCTTTTGACCGCCCGATAGTGAGACGCCTTTCTCTCCAACAAGAGTTCGGTCTCCGAACGGAAATATAGTGAAATCGCGATCTAAAGCACAGACATTAACGACTCGTTTATATCGGCTTTCATTGTATTCATTGCCAAACAGAATGTTATTTCTGACACTATTATTGAAATTCCAGGGCTCTTGTGATGCATAGCTTATGGATCCAACACATTGTATAGTTCCCGATTGAACCGGTAGTTCGCCCAATATTGACATTAAAAATGAACTCTTTTTTAATGTTAAAAAATTATGATGATTTATAATAACAATTCACTAATCAATATTAATTTATGGATATATATATAATTTACTTTTCCTGACCCAACCGGTCCAATGACTGCCAATAGATCTCCGCATTTCAAATTTACAGATATGTTATGTAAAGTTGGATTTGGATTTTCCTTAAAGTTTTAATTAATATTATAATTATATTATTTAATTATTATATTAAAAATATTTATACATACATTACTCCAGTTTGCAATTATATTATCAATTGAAACACTAATTGACTCATTGTTTAATTCCTTACTTTTCAAATGATTTTGATTATCAATTGATTTAACGTTTAATTCTTCTAATTCTAAAAATGTCTAAAAATGTTATTTTTAAAAATAATAATTTATTGGAAATATAAAACCTTTTCATAACTTACTTGAATCCTTTGACACGAAACCGACAGTTCAGCCAATTGTGTGACAGCGTTGGGAAACAATAGCGTTAATGTGATTCGCAATGTATTGAAGAGAGCCATTGTCACGAACACGGCTTTGGCGGTCAGGATATTACCCGTCAATACATATGTTATAAAACATGCAAATAATATGATACGTGAGGCCACAAAAAATACCGACAAATTAATTGCTTTTAAGAAACAGGATTTCTTAATAAAGTTCACTTCCAATCTTTTTTTAATACAATTATAAATTTTTATATTACGTTAAGTATTATAATATAAAAAAAATGAATTACTTTCTGGCATTTGCTACCAAATCGGTAAACGATTGTTCCCACGAATACATTTTGATGACACGCATACCACCTATTATTTCATTCATTAGACGCAACCGGTTGTCAGTCATTTCTGCTGTTTTTTGTCTAACAAATCAAATTTATTTAATTATAATATTTAAATATTAAATAACTGAATCACTTACCTAACTCTAGAAAACAATTTACCCATAATACCTTGAAACGGTATGAATAATATTAATATAGCTACCCCCACCAGTGTTGACCAGCCCAAATGGGTCCAAGCTATGTACACTATTATAATTGTTTGAATGGGTGCTAAAATTATATAACATATAAATGTGGAAAACTATAAAAATATTAAATATTAATTTATCAAATATTATATATTTTAACAATTTATATTCGTTTTTTTAATTAAAACCTCATCAAATCTATTGACATCATTTGACATCATATTCACAATTTGGCCGATAGTTGTCTTTCCCAGTGATGCCTGACTTAATCTTAATGACTATTATTATAAAAAAAAGTTATTTAATAAAATGCAATTCAAGTAAGTATTGTTACCTTTTTATACATAAGAGCACAACTGGCAATCCTCATCTTCATACCTATCTTATGAGTCAACACAAGTGTCGGGTGATGAAGGGATATAAATAATAAGGAACACAGACATACACCCAGTGCTGCCAAACAGGCATTTTTATAATCAATGGTATTATTATTACTAAAATAGTCGATTACATATCCCAACAATATTGGTTGACTTACACGGATCACAGTTTCCTATAAATATATTAATTTAATTTTTATTGTAAACGTATAGAAACTATTAATATTTATATTAATAATATAAAATAATAAACAAACTTCAATTAGAAATATAATGAATGGTAAAGTAAAATGTTTGCCAAATGTCCAAAACAATGCCAAACAATATTTAGGTTTTATTTTCTTGCTTTCATTTATCCAATTTCTGTATTATTTTTTTTGTTGTAATTTTTTTGTTGTTGAAAATTACAAAATTATTGAATGATTTAATGAAAATTAAAGTCTAGTCTAATAATACTTTTCTAGTTTGTAACACAATATCTGTGATTCTTCATTACGAGAACAGCGGTGTATGTCATGTAAGTCGAGACCATTTTTTCGTAGTCCTGTCCAAAATGTTGGGAATACCCAACTTATCAAAAGTGTTTAGTTTAAGCAGTAATTATTAATTTTACATAAAGTTTTAAATAATTTTTATATGATATAATTGATAGATATGATAATGTTTTTAATTGCAATCTGCAATTTATGAGATAAAGTTATTAATTTATATCAAATGTTTATAATATAGGTCACAAAACTCATTATAGAGTGATAAAATTGAAACTGATTTGTAAAAAAAAGGTTTAATTAAATTTAATCATTATACTTTTAACTATTAAAATTTTAATTAAATGATAAATATAAATATTATATAATACTTAATAAAATAACTAAATAAAAATAATGAATATTTTAAAAATAGTGTTAAATTGTTAATTTAGTATTTTATTATATAATATTTATTAATACATTATATACTAAATAGTTGAATAAAATTATTTAATTGATATATGATAATAAACATTAATTAAAATTATAAATAAATAGTGAACATATAAAATAATGTAAGTAACTTACATGAATAGTAGCTTGCTCAAAAAATTAGACCCATCCCATGGGGACTTACGGGTTATTTTTGACTGCTCTTCCATTTATATGTTAGAGTTCATACAAATTATTTAATTTTTTTATAGAATAATTATATAATTTATTTTGATAAATATAAAAATGTTTAAAACATAAATAAATTTTTTCAATAATATATTTACTATCATTTAAACATATAATAAACACATAAATAGACTAATATTAAATACAGTACATGTTTAATAAATTACAAATGTTATAAATGTTTTACACCGGACACTTTGCACAAAACTACAGTAATTTTAAATGTTAAAAATAACATACAATGTAAACATTGTTCAGACAGTGTCTGAAATATTTTATTAAAAAGTTTTGACTCAATAAAATATATAAATACTAATGTAAGATATATTTTATATGTTGATAAATAAATAACATAAACAATTTAATCATTTAAATAAACTTTAATTCATATTTGTATGCAAAATGTATTACATTGTATCATCAATTTATCAAACATACAGAATCTGATTAAATATTTATAAAATAATAAATCAGAGAGTCTTAAACAGAGACGACAATATTGTTAATTACAATTATTTGTTCAACAATACGTTGAATTTAAATGTAACCAATGGCTAAGTTATAGATAATTTTAAACTGAATAAGATTGTACTTGGTCATTTTTTTAATTAACTGTATGATTGACCAGATAATTTACTGTGGTATGTTAAAAATTTTTAAAAATAATAGTCGATTTCAATTATCTGGCCAATCATACAATTAATTAAAAATTGACCAAGTACAATCTTATTTAGTTCAAAATTATCTATAACTTAGCCATTGGTCATTTTTAAATCCAACATATTGTTGATCAGATAATTATGATTAATGGTTTCACAATATTAAATGCTGCCGTTTTAAGACTCACATAATACTGTATATATACTCTCATAGTATACTGTATTGGTATTAATTGATTATTTTATTTATATATAAAATTACATTTATGTATAATTAGGGCAATAAGTTATGACAATAACAAATATTGTACATTAAATGCAGATTTATTTTTTGAATCAAATATTATAGAAATAGAATAATTATTTTAATTAAATGAATTTTTATAATTTGATTTAACTTTATATTAAATTCAATATTAAATATTATAAAAATTATTTAGTAAAACAATAATAAATTATTGAATTTTTGGTAAACCAGCTGTTATTTGGCTTTCAAAGTAGACTGACCACCCATACAGGTGCCGCCTGTATTATACAGGAATCAAGAGTCTAATACAGGTGACAGGAGAGGGCTAACCTGTATAATAAAATATACAGTTTTAAAATGTGTAAAACTAATTGATTAATAAAACTATGAATTAAGTTTTGTTAGTAAAAAATTGATTGTATTTTTAATATACAGTTTAAATATTTAAAATATTTGTTTAAATATAAAAAATTTATAAATATTTCTAAAATTGTTCATGTTCAATATAAAATAATTTTAACTTTTTATATAATTATAGTATCTAAATTAAAATTTTTCTTAATTTATATTATAAATATATACGAAAATATAGTTATTTAAGTACAGGTTAACATACAGGAATATAATATTTAATATACAGGAAAATACAGGTGAAAATAATAATTTTATACTATTATACAGGTTTACTAATAAATTGGGTGGTCAGTCTATTTCAAAGTTGCATTCATTAGTACCCCTCCTAATCTTGAAGAAGCCCTTATCTCCCCAATAGGTGTTCCACGAGTTGGCCACAATCCAGTAGTCGACACCATTTTCAACGCCCCAACCAATGACTTTGACGGCATGACCGCCGACCACTTGTCCAGATGTTCGTTGATATACACCGGACTTATAAATAGCAAAATCGTCGTAAACCTGAAAACAAATTAATTTTTCAATAATTAATTTTATAGTAATAAGTGATATAACAGTTCATACGGTGAATGAGGTGACGACCGGTCCGTTTTGCATGATATCAATCTGAAGAGCTTTATTATCATTTGAGAAACCGTATGACTTTTTACCGTAATGTTTGTCTTCAGCATAAGTCATGTTATATCCGTCAATGCATTTGTGTTGACACTGAGGGGTTGGTTCTAACACTTTCTTACAGGGCGGCAGAGGACCAGAACCACAACCAGCTATACTGTAGGGCTGACATCCCTTTTTGCTATTGTATAGACCACCCGTCACGTAACCTGTATTGACATAGAAGTCCCACGAAGCAAAAGACCAACCGCCCATACATCCCATACCACACGTATCGCAACATGCAATCAAATTTTCGGCCGATATTTCCACCTGTTGTTGTCCTTTAGTGGCAATACATATGCGGTCAGAGATGGCCTCCACCACTGCTAAGGCCCAACACGAACCTTATTTTTGAGTTTTTTTTAGTGATTAATAATAAAAGTATTAATAATAAATTTGTATATTTTATTAAATAATAATAATGTCATATTTACCACATGAGCCCTGATCTCTAATTTCCTTAATAGACTCACAATGAGGCCACTCTTCCCGGGCATCAAACGACTCGGGGATTTCAATATTTTCATCGATTTCATGTTTGAGAAAAACCAGATCCGGTTCCTCCAATGCACCCAACCTTACTTTGATGTCCTCCGACGTATACGAGTTTTTACCGGCCTTTCAATTAAATTTAAATGTGATTTAAAATTAATACAAAAAATATTCAATGAATACCTTCCACGTTGTGTTCAGATTATTGATGTAATTAATTAATTCATTAACATCTTCATAATTAGTTGACAATTGCAATGAATTTGTTGTAAAAGTTAAAAAAGTAGCAAGCAAAATTAATAACATCATTATGCTAAAATTGATTTTAATTTAATATGATTTTAATTCAAATATTGAAATTTGTTAATTGAGTTTATAATTAATTTATAATAAAATTGTACCAAAAGATACTTAAGTAATGTATATTTTATTATTTTAATAAATGAGATTTAATCCAGGTGCTGGTTATTTATTAAAGATAAAATATTAACATTGCACTTACAAATATCAATTTCTATTGATGGTTTAATTAAATAATAATTGAAATTTATGTTATTATTTTTTGTGTTTTGGATTGATATACAGTATATTATAAAATTTACCATGATTATAATATTAAATTTATAAATTTCTTAAAATTAATTAAATTTATAAATAATTATTATAATAGAGATAAATTACTTTCATTTTTAGTAAATGCAGTTATTTTTATATAGAAAAAATGACATAAAATTCATATTTAAAATTATTTAAAATGTTGATATTGTATATAAATAATTAACTAATTTTATTTATTAGTTCAATATAATTTTCTAGATTTATTAATATTTTGATTTTAAAAGCCAATTATTTAGAGTATTATATTAATATATTTAAAAGTTTAGTATAATTGGTATTTACGTGAAATGATTTTGTTTCTCTATTAAGATTCTCGAGAAATAATTCATTTATAATTACAAAATAAATGAAATTTAAATACAGTTTTATATAATATATTATTTTTTTAATCTTAGAGTCTTTTTTAGTAAAATAAGAGGTTTTATTTTAATTCAATCTAATATACTATTTATAAATAAAATCTACATATCTTTCGTTGATAAACATCTTATGATGGATTTGTCGTCAATTGTGTGGTATATCATTGTTCCCATCATTATTGCCATTCTTGTAGTACTCGGTATCCGTTTGTTTGCATTTGTTATCAAAGATATCACAAATGTCATGATTGTCGCCGCAATGGTTTTACTATCACTTATTGTCTTCAGAGTCGCCAACAATTATAAGCATTACTTGAAAATAGGTTTACATTTTAGTTTTTCATACTTTAATCATAACAATTCATTAAATATATATTTTTTATTTTATCATAAAAAGGTCAAATCAATAGTACTCATCCATCAAATGTATAGATTGGTATCAATTAAAATACATGTCTTTTTCTATGTATCGGATTGTCATTATATTGAGTTGTCGTAATTGCAATACATTTTAACTCAATGGCGATATTAAAACATTATATTATTTCTTATTCATTGATCAATTACTACAACTTTTATTTAACAAAAATTATTAGCTTCGTTATATGCAAATTATTGTACAAAATATAATAAAAAAAATTGTTTATTCTTATTAGTTAAACATTGATTACTAATTATAATAAATGATTACTTAACTAAATTGTTATAATCTATTTGTCAATATTTTTTTATTATACTTATATATAATTAAAATTCTGCTTTAATATGCAGTACTTACGGTACATGTAATGTATTTTATTTGCAATAGTTATTGACAAATGCTTTTATACTTTTTTTCTATCTAAAAATATAAACTATTATTAAGATATCTACTTATTTATTACTATTAATATAGTAATAATGTAATAATATAAATGCCAAAATTTACCGATTTGTTAAAAATTAAAAATATGATAATTTACATAAAAGCAACAAAAATCAATATAATTAATTTTGACACTAAAATAATGTAATGGAATAGTTGCAAAAATTAGTTACAATTACTAATATATAGTTATTTTCAATGTTTTTTTTGGTGCAACATTAGTTAAAATAATGATAGATTATAAAATAATTACAAAAAACACATTTATATTATATTATATACTAATAACCAATTTTATTAATATACAATTTATTACAAATAGATCTTTTAATAAAATTTAAAAAATCAATTATTAACAGTAATTACAGTAATTATTTAGTTATTACAGTTTTGGTAGACCGGCTGCTATTTGTGCCTCAAATCCACATTCATTTTGTCCTCTTTTGATTTTAAACAATCCTTTGTCACCCCAGTCTTCATTCCATGAGTTGGCCACAAGCCAGTAGTCGACACCGTTTTCAACGCCCCAACCAATAATCTTAACGGCGTGACCGCCGGCTACTGTACCCGATGTTCGGTGATATACACCAGACTTGTATTGAAGGAAATCGTTGTAAACCTTTTAAATTATAAATTAATAAATGATTATTAATTCACAGTTTTAGTCGTTTAACAGTCATTTACAGTGAAAGCTGCGACAACCGGTCCATTCTTCATGATATCCGCCTGAAGTGCTTTATTATCGTTTGAAAATCCATATGTTTTGCTGCCATAATGTTTATCCTCTTTATAGGTTGCGTTATAACCGGCAGCACATTTGTGTTCACATTTGGGTGTCGGGTCGTAATCTTTCTTACAGGGCGGCAGATGACCGGTAGCGTGATGTTCGCATCCGGCAATAGAGTACGGCTGACAACCTTTTTTACTATTATAGAGACCACCCGACACAAGACCAGTGTGAACGTAGTAACTCCAAGCAGCCGATGGCCAACCACCGTGACATCCCATACCACATGAACTGCAACACGTGACCATATCTTGAGCCGAGATTTCTACCTGTTGTTTGCCCTCAGAGGCAATACATATGCGATCAGAAATAGCTTCGACTGTTGCAAAAGCCCAACACGAACCTAATACAGTATTTAATATATTTTTTAGATAATGGGATCTAATTAACCAATATTTGTATAAATATTTACCACAAGAGCCCTGATCTCTAATTTCCTTAATAGACGCACAATGAGGCCACGCTTCCCGAGAATCAAACGATTCGGGGATTTCGATATTTTCATCGATTTCATGCTTAGGGTAAACCAGATTCGGTTCCTCTAATGCACCCAATTTTACTTTAATATCTTCCAAAGTATACGAGTCATCAAAATTTTTACCGGCCTTTCAGTTATATAAATACAAATTATGATTAACATATGTTTTTTTTACTTTTTCATAATATTAAATTGATTTAATAAATCAAATACCTTCCAAGTTGTGTCTAAACTATTAACATAATCGATGATTTCATCAAAACTTTTAGGGCCAGTTGGCGATTGCAATGAACTTGCTAATAAAGTAGCAAGCAAAATTAGAAACTTCATAATTGACTTAAGTTATGGCAATTTAACTAAAGTAATAGTAATAATAATATGATTTTCAGCAGTAATATTCTGCTAATTTATATACTCACTATATTTACTTTAGTATTTACAATAGATCATATTAAACATTAAATGTTATATTAAATATAGATTGAGAATTGATGCAGGTGGTCTAATTCTTTAAAAACATAATATAGATTATATTAAGTAACTATTAACTGATTTTAAATAAATAAACCTTGATAAATTAAAGTACAATGTCAATGTCTGTGATATTTATTATTAAGTACGTGAATAGTATTTAATATATCAGTTTATTTGTCATATTTTTATTGATTACAAAAATAATTTTACTTCACTTTTTTGTAATTTTTAACTATATGTATGCTTATGTTATAAATACTGTATATACGACATAACATACGATAGTGTTACCTTAATTTTCATTGATATAGTTTTTATATATTGACTTTAATAAATATTTTAAAACGCAAAAACTAGAAATATCATTTAATAAATAAACAAATACTTGATATGATTAAAAAATAAAATATTGATAATTAATTTTAGTATAAAGTTGCAAAATAATAATTTATTGTTTAATAAAGTACACTATTATTTAGTATAAAAATATTAGATAAAATCATATGATATGTAATAATAATTTGAAAATTCTTAGAAATCATTTAATTAATTAGTATTTAATTACAGTATATTTTGTAATAATCAGTTTTAAATTTATTTATTATTATTAAATTTAAAAATTATTATTCATATTTTAGAAAAATAAATTATAAGAATAACCAAAAATAACAGAAAACTTAATAAAAATTGTATTTCAAAAATGTTGTTGTATTGAAAAAATGTATGTTGAAAATGCTGTTAAATAATTTTAACTTTTATATATTAATTTAGTAATTAACATAAAAAATTAATGACATGTGTTGTTTTGTACTAGGTTATTTTTTAATTTTTAAACTTAAGTAAACATTTTGATATTTCTCTTATGAAAGGAATTGTCAAAAAAATTAATTAATATTTATCTCTAAATCAAAATTTACATTAAAATCTAGAAAATAAATAATGACATACTTTTGATATATTCAACTGTTTTTTTTCACAATAAATAAATTATAGTACAAAAAATAGTGTTATATTTCCTATATTTTGAAGCCCAGTATAAATTGACTGGTTTTAACATTAGCACTAAATTGCCAAATAGTGTCATCATTGGACGGGGCTATAAAATATAGCTCTTTCAGTCATTTTTTTGCAATCTGAGACTTATTGTAAAAATGATTTATTGATCAGATAAATGAATTATTGAATATATATAAGATTTAGATAAAACTTTAACTCATAATTTAAAAATAAATGAAGATATTTCAAAATTTTTAATTATTTTATTCATTATAAATAATTTTAGAAAACTGAGTTAATTTTTATTAGTTATCAGTTTTTAAAAACATAATTTAATTTTTAAAAATAATTTTATTTTATGACATATAGTATTATTTAAAAATAATGTAAAATATATACAGTATTTATTTATTAGTTAAGTTTAGGTAATCCAGCAGATATGCCGCTCTCAAAGTTGCACTCATTGGTACCCCTTTTAATCTTGAAGAGTCCTTTGTCACCCCAGTCTTCATTCCACGAGTTGGCCACAAGCCAGTAGTCGACACCGTTTTCAACGCCCCAACCAATGACCTTAACGGCGTGACCTCCGACTCCACTACCCGTTACGTGATGATAGACTCCTGACTTATAAGTCAAAAAGTCTTCATAAACCTATTTAATTAAAGTTAATTAATTTTCACAAAATAAAACAATTTGTTGTTTCTTACACTAAAACCTGCGCTAACGGGTCCGTTAGTCATGATTTCCGTTTGAATGGCTTCAACATCACTGTCAACATCATATGCTTTGCTTCCAAAGTGTAGGTCATGAGTATAACTGACATTATAACCGGTGGCACACTTTTGATGGCATTTAGGTGTCGGGTCCATCGTCTTACCGCACGGTGGATAATGACCAGTTGTGTGGTGTTCGCACGCGGCTAATGAATAAGGTTGACAACCCTTATGACTATTGTAAAGACCACCGGTTACTAAGCCGTGTTTGACATAGTATTGCCAGGCGGCGTCTTCAAAACCACCGTGACATCCATCACCACATGAAGTACAACAGGCCACCAGATTTTCAGCTGATATCTCAACCTGTTGTTTGCTTTTTGATGCAATACATATTCGGTCAGAGATGGCCTCCACCACTGCAAAAGCCCAACACGAGCCTAATATAAACAATAGTCAAATAGATTTATAACAATATAATAAAATTATTATCTAAAATATTTATAAGTTATAATTAAATACTGACCGCAATTTCCCTGATCTCTGATCTCTTTAATAGACTGACATTCTGGCCATTGGTGTCTTGAATCAAACGATTTGGGAATATCTATGTTTGGATATTCACTCTTTGGTTTAATCTGCAAAACTCCTTTCTTCACCGGTAAAGTACTTAACTTAACTTTAAGGTCTGAAAGTTTATAATTATCATCAAATGTTTTATCGGCCTTTAAGTAAAAAAACAAATATTTTTTATATGTATATAATAATAATATATTGTTATTAACTAAATATACTAACAATCCATTCATTTTGAACACTATTAATGTATTCAATCATTTGGTTCACATTTTGGTATTTAGTCGGTGTTTGCAATGAAACACCAATAAATAGATTAACTGCGAGTATAGTAAATACATACATGACTTACTGGTATATAGAGTTAAATGCAATGTTTATATGATTTTTTTTATTAGAATTTATTTCTATTTATATTATATTTAATTAAAAAATAATAATGTATTATCTGATAATATAATAATAATTATGTTATCATGATCATTGCTTTGGCCGTTTTTAATAAGCACTTGATATTTATTATAATTACAAAATACAATATATTGATAAAAATATATGCATATGTTTTTTGACTGAATTTTATCAAAAAGGTCTATAAATTGCAATGGCTTTAGAAAATGTTATTCAAAAACATCATAATGTATTATATTTTTAAAGTGTATAAAGTACTGGTAGTTTTAACGATAAAATGTAACTTAAAACAAAAGAAAAAATAATTTAAGTTAATTTATATGTTATACAGGTATTGAACTTGAACTACATTAAATAGTAATAATTTATTTATAATTGTCTAGATTTTAAGTTTATTATTTTATCATATGTTCAATAAAATAAAATTAAAATATTTGCATAGTTTTATTAGGAACTTTAGATTTAATATAAATGACAATTTATTTTTCAGTTAATTATTGATTAACAAAACTTATAAATAATTTACAATTTGGGTAAACCGGCACTAATTTGTTGTTCAAACCCGCAATCGTCGCGACCCCTCCTGATCTTGAAGAGTCCTTTGTCACCCCAGTCTTCATTCCACGAGTTGGCCACAAGCCAGTAGTCGACACCGTTATCAACGCCCCAACCGATGATCTTAACGGCGTGATAGCCGGCCGACGGACCGGTCACGTGATAGTAAACACCAGATTTGTAGGACAAGAAGTCTTCGAAAACCTGATTTTATCGACAAATTCTAGTTTAATATTTATTATTAAAATAAATAATATTATTGATACCAAACCTGATAAGTGGCCACAACGGGTCCATTTTGCATGATATCCGCCTGCAATTTCTGGTTGTCATTACTGAAATGATACGTTTTGCTGCCATAATGTTTGTCCTCATTGTAGGTAATGTTATATCCAGCGATACATTGTTTCTGGCACTTTGGTGTCGGTTCTATCGATTTGCCGCACGGCGGCAAATGGCCTGTCGTGTGGTGTTCACAGGCGGCTATAGTATAAGGACGACATCCCTTTTTGCTGCCATAAAGACCACCCGATACTAGACCGGTGTGCTGGTAGTAACTCCAGGCAGACTCCGGATATCCGCCGTTACATCCAAAACCACAAGAAGAACAACAGGAAACTAAGTCTTCGGCTGATATCTCCACCTGTTGTTTACCATTAGAGGCGACACATATGCGGTCAGAGATGGCTTCAACTGTTGCAAAGGCCCAACACGAGCCTGAAGTGTACAAACAATTTATAACGTATTAATAACTAATGAAAATCACTAATAATATGCTTTTATCTATCATTTGTGAAAATTATTCGTAAAATCTATTTTACTATTATTACAATACTCACCGCAAGTTCCTTGATCTCTGACCTCTTTAATTGAATCACATGTAGGCCAGGCTTCACGAGAGTCAAATGATTCGGGTATTTCGCTAATATCAACTTCAGGTGGTTCAGAGTATTCAACATCGGGTACGACTTGGTTTTGAGGGACACCCATCAGGCGCTTAATATCTTCCAAATTGTAGGAGTCATCAAAATTTTTGCCGGCCTAGTCATGCATTTAATTAATAATATATAATATAAGAAAATTAAGTATAATATGATTTATTATTTGGTTATAACTTATAACAATCATACCTTCCACGTTATGCCTTCCAAGCTATTTATATATTCAATCATTTCATTTTGATTATTAAATGATAGACCGGTTGGTGATTGCATAGACACCACTACTAATAGACCTAATAGTAATATCCGTAACATTTTAGTCTTCGATTTTTTTTACTAACGGTTTCTCAAATAATTAATTATTAATTGGTTTAGTAAATGTTTATTATTGAGACTATTTATATAACTTATATATAAATTTATATTTAATAATATTTTTAATGTCAAGTGCATATCCCATAGCACTTGATTTAACAATCATATGACTTATATTTTTTGTGAAATCAACAACTTTTTCTATCACTAGAGGCTTATATTAATTATTTATATTTTATTCTCTTGTGTTATATTTGTAGGCATATTATAAATTAAATACAAAATATTTATATATTTATAATTCAATAGTGTCTATGTATTAATACAATATATTGATATTCTTATATAAGTTTATATTAAGAATTTTTAATATTATAATAATTTTTAATTATTTTTTTTTTGATAATGATGTATAAAAATAATATAATAATATATTTTAGACATTAGGGGGTAATTTTATCAAAGTGATATTAACATTTTGTGATATTAGTATACAATAATGTAGTGCAGTATATAATTTAATTGTTTAATGCATTATTGAATCTGTAAATCAATAATCTAATAATTGTTTTTTATTGAATTTGTTATTAAATGGCATACAATCTATTTATTAACTAAATGTTTGATATATAAATGTCGAATGTGATAAAATTTATGTCAAATATTTTTTAATTATTTTTTTTTAATTTTCCAATTATTATTTTTGAGAGTTTTTGTTGAATAAATAAGTAAATTTTATCGATTTAAAAAAATATTTTTATTAATATATATATAATAAAACTATCAATATATTAATATAAATTATTTTGCCACAGTTTTATTATAAAGTCTATAATAAAATATTTATTCATTATATTTAAGTTGATAATTGGATAAAAAAGAAAGAAAATTTGTATAATTATTTTTATTAGATTTAAACATTTGTCAATTAATAAATAATATCACACAAAATGCATTTGGTTTATGAGCTAATTTATTATTAAATAAATACTTAATAATATAATAATATTATTATTGACTTTTATCTATAAAATAGTTAACTATAAATTTAAATAAAGACACTTTGAATTGAATAATAAATCGATTTTCACAGTCTATTGATTATCATTATATTTGGTTCACATGTTATTTGTCCGTAAGATTTGTATTTTAAGAAATCAAATGAATCTCTTGTGTAAAATCAATTGATAGCCATATAAGTGGTGTAAAACTATCGTACGATCAGACAATTGCTTTAACAGTCAGAATGAAAGAGAGAATTTAGAAAAATAAGATGAATGACGAAAATGATAGTAATGTGAGAAATAGATACACAATATTATACACAAATAGAGAGAGAGAGAGAGAGAGAGAGAGAGAGAGAGAGAGAGAGAGAGAGAGAATATTCTGTGTGTGTTTGAATGTACAGTATGTGTGGGTGAGTGAGTGAGTGAGTGAGTAAGTGTGTGTCAATATGTGTGGAAATTTAAGAATATAAAGATTGTCTACAATATAACAATACTTGTGTTACAATACAGTGTAACGTTGTCTCAATAATTTATGAAAGAAAGTACTGTAGGTATTCATTATACGTATAATATAATATAAAGTAAAGATAACTTATATAACTTGTATAACTTGTTCAATATATTGCTTCAATTTATTTTGAACACTTCTATGAGATCATTAAGCTATATTAAAATATACAATAGTGTAATAAAAGCTGGTATTATGATACACTTTTAAAAATATGTTTAAAGTTATAATACTAAACTACAATTGAAATTAATTGCTTATTATATTTATAGTATAAGTTAACAAAAGTATAAATTGAAAGATTATATATAATTGTAGATAACATGATAAACGATGGGTGCGCTCTGTATATAAAACCAATAAACAGCTGCGACTACTACTGTAAATTTATGTGTTATATAACTTATATATGAATATACAGTATATATACTGTATTTACTGTATATGTCAAACAAATGTTTTGTAAATTATTCATTACATGTGTGACACCCATAAAAATTTTATAATTTTGTCATAAAATTTTATTCATTTAATGCAAATTTCCATATATTTATTATTTGAATACAAACTAAATATATGATAATATACATGTACTGTACTGTATATGTACAGATTATCATACTTTAATTTTAAACTTCACTAACTCTATTTATTTTTATTAAATTTTAATTTATATAATACTAAATTACCATCAATAACTAGATAATTTATTATTTATTGATTATCTATGAAATTAAGTCAAGTAATTATTTTTTATTTTAATTTATTTAATTTAACTTATTTATTTATTTAAATGACTAAGATCAATTGTAAATAGTGCTATTAATAAAAAATATAATTATTTTCATTATAACATATGTATATTATTTATTGTATTCATTAGATATAAAATAAATCTCAATAACAATGATAATAATAATAATAATTGTTAAATATATATTACAATTATGTAATTGAATTAAGCTATCACATATTATTTTAAATAGTAGCCTAATGTTAAATTAGGTGCTCTTATCAACAAATATAATAATAATGTTAATAAAGATGTGATGATAATATTGATGATGATATTGATGATTATATTAATGATAAATTAGTGATAATATTAATTATAAGTTATATTGTTGTCTAAACTTTAGCCCTATAGGCAACAACAATGATAACAAGTATGAGTCCAATAAACCAAACGATCCAATAGAAGACAAAGAGAGTCATTCGCCATTGAATCCAACGAAGATCTCTAACCAAATCAGCATACGTTCCGCTGAACTCATACTGTCTCTCGTAGTTATTATAGTAATATTTTTCTTCGGCATCATTTTGCTGAGCAATCAGTCGTGTATAGTATTGATTGGTATACGTTGTCGGACTCATGTAGTCTCTCATAGCACCTAACGGTCCTCCCATAGCACTAGCACTGGAACCATCAACACCACCACCACCACATACTGATCTATCAATAGGTCCTATTGTATCAGCACTGGTACCCGATGTACCTGTCATAACAACTTCAATGTCACACTTTTTCAGTGGTGGTTGTGATTGTTGTTGTCGATTATAATTTAATTGATTTTTCAAATAATGATTGTCACCATTAGGTGTGGTTAATGTTAGTGTTGGCCGACGAATGTCGACATCTAAAGAATAGGGTCGCCGTTGGCACTGATCATAGCAGACATAATAGTCGTGATGTCCGTTACCATTGCTAGTGCTGGGTATCAGCGCTTCCGGAGTCGTTTCCTCATTGTTGGCACAAACTGTTTGTTGGAAGCCATTAGACATTTGTGATACTTGTGCGCCACTATTCACCGCACTATTGATAATCACTGACGACTCGTCCCGTTTAATAGCCTTATAGTAGTCGTTATAAACGCTGTCGTTGTTTACTAAACCCATTATTTACTGCCAACACTTAATAAACATTACATTTACTATTTTGTTTTTGCACCGGAAGGTAATCCCGATTAGTTGCTCGACATAGACGTCAAACACTATATAAATTGTCAAACATTGTTATCAATGATAATGTTATATATTATAGACAGTATAATTAGACTATATTTCTAAATGTTTTCAAATCTAAGTTGTTTTAAATGTCATTAAATTCAATGCGATTAAAACAAAACTATAAACTAAATATACGAATGTTTAAAGTATTATTAAATTTATATTATCATAATTATATTGTAATTACTTAAACTATTGATGACAATAAAATATTTTTTAATACAAATAATTTTAATTTTAATAATAATCTTTTAGTCATGAATTGAATAGTTTTTTTAAAAAGAATATTTCAATGTATTAATATTATAGAAAATTGAATAATAAATACTCAATATATTGATATATATTTATAAATTGTGTAATTAAATGTTAATTCTATGCTTTAAATATACTGTATTATAGAATAGCTGATCAATAAATAATAATCTTTAAAATACTTTAAATCTATTGGTGTGTAAAAAATAAATCTATTATTGAATTTATTGTATATGTATTGCAATTTTTACATTATATTTCAAATATTTGTTGTTTGAGTTCATTTTTGAATTGAAACAAAAAATGTTTTTTTTAAAATTGTAGTATGAAATAAATACTCATAGACATGGTATTTATATTTTCTCAAATACTATTAAATATAACAAATAATATATGAATTTATAAGTGTATATTATAATAATATTATTCACTGATGATATTAAACAACAATCTATGCCTTTTATAAAAATATACAATAAAAATCAACAAAAATCAATATTAACGCTAATAATAGATTTATTTTTTTATTGAATTTGTATTTATGCACGCATTTTGCAACATAAAAACTCAAAATGACAATTACTGTATATAATTTATATATTGAAACAATAATAAACTTAATTACAGTAAAAAGACAAACTATGTTTATATAATTCCGTATTTATAATTATTGCTGTAGTTATATAAATATATAAAAAATCAATAAACATTGTATCAAATTTGTTTTATAAAATAATTAAATCTTAATAATAATTGTCATTGAATAAAGTTAAATAAAATAGAAATATAAGTTTTTTGAATACAATTTTATAATTAAAAAAAACTATTAATTCATCAATTTATACAATTGTGTAAAATAATAACTTCCATTACTTGTATATATTTGTATATTTCATTTAATATGTAAGCTTTCCTTTTTATTTATTAATCCATATCATTATTATTATGATATAAATGTAATATAGTTTTAAATGAAATATTAAATATATTTATTATATTTATTATATTATTGGTTGCCAAGTGTTACAAAATATACGACAAGTTTTATATTAAAAACATTAGATTTTTAGCACAGTTTAGTACCATATGTACCTGTATAAAATAATTAGTTTTTAACATATATTATTATATTTGCATATTTGTGATCGGAATCTGTGTTATATTTAGGTAATTAATAAACTTAACCAACGATTTTATTAACAATTAATAACAACTTTAATAATAGGGATAAATATGCTCTTATAATTTGTATTATTAATAAATTAAATTTAAATAAATTTAAATAATAAGTACACTGACTGTCAATTTGA